CCGGTTCCCAAATTTGGTCCATTTGATGTTACTCCCTTGGATTGAGACCGTTTCAGTCATGTTTATCCTCATAGTCATGTATAGAACCTATTAATCCATGTTTGGGTAAGTATGGGTCCGTCTAGTTCATCATATACACTACAAGTAAGTTCCCACAATGTGGAGGCACAGAGCTACATTTCGGACTCCTTACCTCTTCCGGTTCCCAAATTTGGTCCATTTGATGTTCCTCCCTTGGATTGAGACCGTTTCATTCATGTTTCTCCTCATAGTCATGTATAGAACCTATTAATCCATGTTTGGGTAAGTATGGGTCGTCTAGTTCATCATATACACTACAACTAAGTTCCCACAATGTGGAGGCACATAGCTACATTTCGGACTCCTTACCTCTTCCGGTTCCCAAATTTGGTCCATTTGATGTTACTCCCTTGGATTGAGACCGTTTCATTCATGTTTCTCCTCATAGTCATGTATAGAACCTATTAATCCATGTTTGGGTAAGTATGGGTCTGTCTAGTTCATCATATACACTACAAGTAAGTTCCCACAATGTGGAGGCACATAGCTACATTTCGGACTCCTTACCTCTTCCGGTTCCCAAATTTGGTCCATTTGATGTTACTCCCTTGGATTGAGACCGTTTCATTCATGTTTATCCTCATAGTCATGTATAGAACCTATTAATCCATGTTTGGGTAAGTATGGGTCTGTCTAGTTCATCATATACACTACAAGTAGTTCCCACAATGTGGAGGCACATAGCTACATTTCGGACTCCTTACCTCTTCCGGTTCCCAAATTTGGTCCATTTGATGTTACCCTTGGATTGAGACCGTTTCAGTCATGTTTATCCTCATAGTCATGTATAGAACCTATTAATCCATGTTTGGGTAAGTATGGGTCCGTCTAGTTCATCATATACACTACAAGTAAGTTCCCACAATGTGGAGGCACATAGCTACATTTCGGACTCCTTACCTCTTCCGGTTCCCAAATTTGGTCCATTTGATGTTACTCCCTTGGATTGAGACCGTTTCATTCATGTTTCTCTCATAGTCATGTATAGAACCTATTAATCCATGTTTGGGTAAGTATGGGTCTGTCTAGTTCATCATATACACTACAAGTAAGTTCCCACAATGGAGGCACATAGCTACATTTCGGACTCCTTACCTCTTCCGGTTCCCAAATTTGGTCCATTTGATGTTACTCCCTTGGATTGAGACCGTTTCATTCATGTTTATCCTCATAGTCGTATAGAACCTATTAATCCATGTTTGGGTAAGTATGGGTCTGTCTAGTTCATCATATACACTACAACTAAGTTCCCACAATAAGGAGGCACATATACATTTCGGACTCCTTACCTCTTCCGGTTCCCAAATTTGGTCCATTTGATGTTACTCCCTTGGATTGAGACCGTTTCATTCATGTTTCTCCTCATAGTCATGTATAGAACCTATTAATCCATGTTTGGGTAAGTATGGGTCGTCTAGTTCATCATATACACTACAAGTAAGTTCCCACAATGTGGAGGCACAGAGCTACATTTCGGACTCCTTACCTCTTCCGGTTCCCAAATTTGGTCCATTTGATGTTACCCTTGGATTGAGACCGTTTCATTCATGTTTATCCTCATAGTCATGTATAGAACCTATTAATCCATGTTTGGGTAAGTATGGGTCTGTCTAGTTCATCATATACACTACAAGTAAGTTCCCACAATGTGGAGGCACAGAGCTACATTTCGGACTCCTTACCTCTTCCGGTTCCCAAATTTGTCCATTTGATGTTACTGCCTTGGATTGAGACCGTTTCATTCATGTTTATCCTCATAGTTGATGATAGGATTTTAGTGTGATGTGATATGAAATGATGTAAATGATATGAATGATGTGAGGTGGAATGCAAACAGTGGTGAATAAGAATGAGATGGAATGGTGTAATCACAATCAATCAATTCCTTTTATCCATCATAGTGGATGTAGTATAAGAGGTTATCAATCCATAAGGGTGAGATGTTGCTCGATGAGAATATGCAAACACAAGAAAGTCAAGTCAAATGATTAAAAGGAGGGATGTAACAACTAAACAACCTAATATGAAATGAAATGCAAGCAAAAGCAGTAAACAAAAGCAGCTCGACCAAGAGATCGATTAGAAACAGAGTGACTGAGCTCGATCGAGTTGGGGGTCGAGTTGATGTAAAAACAGAGGCAATGCAATGTAAAGCGGTAAAGGTGCAAATTTTAAGATCCTAATGCGAAGATTAGGGTTAAAGATAGGGTTTCAGCTAAAGGGAGGCTATACTTAATCAGTCTTGCTCTTAAACAACTTGTACTCAAGCTATCTCTTGGTATTGAGCTTCTCTAGCCTAGCTAACCCTTTCCCAAGGTGAAAGCTATCATCCAAGGCATGATCTTAGAAACAGGGGGTCAGCCAGTGAGAATCAAGCCTTGGAGGCAGTAGGATCATTGCTCAAACTAACTCATCCAACACCTATGAACTCCATTTGGAGAGCAAGGTTTATTGGAGCTCTTAGTGGACTTTTTCAAGTTATTTCCCAACATTCCCATGAGGAAAATCGCCTAGACTCGTACACACCATGGTCAGTGGTTGTGCAGCCTTAAGTTTTGTCCAAAAGAGAGAGATTCTAGGTTAAGAACATAAAGTAAGAGAGATTAAGCATAAACAACCTCTAACATATCCCATCTTAAGCCCTAAAGGGAACTACTCACTAATCATGGTGAAATAAACAACCAAATGCAATGAATGAGACATCAAAAGATAGAAGAGATGAAGATAAACAACTTTTATTGAAATAGCAAAATGCAAATACACAATAACAAAGCCTAGATCTAGGGTTCTATGAGCATGAGCTCAAGAACACAAAGAGAGGCTAAAAAGTCAAAAGGGAAATGAAAATACAAGATTAAATAAAAGTTGAGCAAAAGCTGTCTTTAATTCGTGGCTCAATGCCCTTAAATAAGAAGGAGATTAGGTTTAGGGAAAAAGGGGGAGTCAAAGGGAAGCAACATTTTTCGGGTTTGACTTTGACTCGCAGCTCGATCGAGTTGGAAATTGGCCGGTCGAGCTGGTGGGTTGAGTCCAATCAAAATCATCGTATCTTCTGAACCACTGGTCCGAATGACATTAAACCACCTCCAGAAGGAAGCTAACTCAATTATCCACAACTTCCAAGAAGACGTCAGAGGCTGAGTCGGAGTGTAAACCCTTCATTTGATACGATACTTCGGACGCATCTCACTAACTCGATCGAGTGCAGTCCGTACATGGGGCAGACAGTCTTTTCCTTCCTCAACCAGTCTCCAGTGATAGGCAATGTTCCAATTAGCTCCAAATGACCTGATTAAGACATAAAACGTGCATATGTATGCAAATGCAAGCCTAAAACTACTATGTATGCAAAAGAAGAGAAAAGGAACAAGATATGATGCTAATGGATGCTAAAACTATGCAAAAGATGCATAAAAGAAGTACTAAAACTATGTAAAATGCAAGTACGTCAACAGTCACTTATAGAACCTATTAATTCATGTTTGGGTAAGTATGGGTCTGTCTAGTTCGTCATATACACTACAAGTATATTCCCACAATGCGGAGGCACATAGCTACATTTCGGACTCCTTACCTCTTCCGGTTCTCAAATTAGGTCCATTTGATGTTACTCCCTTGGATTGAGACCGTTTCAGTCATGTTTATCCTCATAGTCATGTATAGAACCTATTAATCAATGTTTGGGTAAGTATGGGTCCGTCTAGTTCACCATATACACTACAACTAAGTTCCCATACACTACAAAAAAAGGCTACATTCATAGCACATCGTAATAGCACGGTTCGTTAAACTGCTATTGAAGATGACTTTGTAATTTCGGATATCATATTATAGCATTGCATGATTGCTATGATATAGTTTTCATAAGCGGGAAGCTAATTACTCTTATTCCGCCCACACTTAGTAAAATTAAGACACTTAAGCGCCAAAAACCTCTGATTTACTCCCTCTCTCATTGACTAATCGAAAAACCCTCAGGAAAAAAAACAATCTCCGGCAGCAAAAAAAACTCTCATAAAAAACCCAGTCGCTTGATTCCGTTTTCAATCGCCGTCGCCGGCGACCGATAGTCGGATCTGTAGATCTACAGCAAATTTCCGACTTCTTCTTCCTCGACATCCATCTCTAATCGAAGGCATGCAAATCTAACTCTGTTTTAGTTTTTCGTTACTCTATCCGATTTCAATCCGATTTGTGCGTGATTATAGTACATTGTAGTTCTTCGATTTTAGGGTTTATGTAGCTAATTTGATTCAGTTGTAGTTGTTAAGTACTAGTCTTTTTGCCAACCAATGTTATTTGCCAATGTACATTAGTTTTCTTATTACGGTTTGTGGGATTAGACTAAATCGTAGTTGGACCAACTTTTGTTTACCAATGTTCAGATTTACCTGATAACATATGTTCTTTACAAGTAGATGTGAACTGTGACATACATTCAACGGAATTCAGTAATGCGTATGATACAAATATGTTTAGGCAGTTTTGATTTCTTGAATGCATTTGTTCTCTCATGTAAATCTCTATCTCCTATTGCTAGTTTGTTTGTTTTGCCTATATCAATGACTCCCAGTGGTTCTCGTTCATTGGTAACATTATGCTCCATCTGTTATTGTTTTGCAAGTGTTTCTGACTGCAATGTTGGGGAACTGAAGCTTATCTTTTGCTGTTATCACAGAACAGGTCAGTCACTCTTTTTCTGTTTATGTCTTCCACCTGTCATTTAATTGTGATTGCTGTTAGTAACTCCATTTAGTTTTCTGATTCTTAATATAGTCGATTTGGATTTTCAGAATTGTGATAGACATAATATAATGATATTCCCTAATATAATGTGTTTTTGTGTTGCGTTAAACTGATGGATTGGCTCTGATCTGGTGCTTATGCTATGAAAGGTTTTTAGTAACGTAGAACTTAGAATGGTGGACAAGTCATGGGTTCATCTTTGCAGGTATACAATTAAATTGGATAGGTTAGGTTTCAGGTGGGTCTAGAGTCTTTACTTTTGTTTTTTTTGTTCTTTTCATTTCTGTGACGAAGAGCTGGTCCTGCTTATGAGAAAGGGGCTTCAGAGTTTGTTAGAGATGTGGCTGTGGCTCTCGGAGACGCAAATATGATTGTTTGTCCTTGCATTGACTGTCGTAACATAGATTGTCATGTGTGCAATGTTGTCGTTGACCATCTTGTCACAAGGGGAATGGAGGAGGCGTACAAGAGTAGGTCTGATTGGTATCATCATGGGGAATTGAATTCAGGTCTACAAGGTGAAACAAAATCAAGTCAGCGGAATGAAGAGATTTTTGGGTTATATAAAGCTGCTGAATTAGGAGATGTAGAGTTTGCTATTAATGATTATTTTGGTGAGATTGCCGAGGGAGAAGACAAGAAAGAAGATGAGTTCCTTGCCAAGATCGCCGATGCTGAAACACCATTGTACCCATCTTGTGTCAATCATAGCAAGCTTTCTGCGATTGTATCCTTGTTCAGACTGAAGACACATAACGGATGGTCTGACAAGATTTTTAGTAATCTTCTTGAGACTTTGCCAGGGATGTTACCAGCGGATAATGTCTTAAACACATCACTGTATGAGGTGAAGAAATTTCTGAAATCATTTGATTTGGGTTACGAGAATATTCATGCCTGTGTCAACGACTGCTGTTTGTTCAGAAAGAAGTACAAGAAACTTGAGAGTTGTCCTAAATGTAAGATTTCACGATGGAAGACAAACATTCACACTGGTGAAGTGAAGCAAGGTGTGCCACAGAAAGTGTTACGCTACTTCCCAATAATCCCAAGACTGAAGAGAATGTTTAGATCGGAGGATATGGCTAAAGATTTACGATGGCATTTTACTAACAAGAGCACCGATGGCAAACTCAGACATCCCGTGGATTCAGTTACTTGGGATCAGATGAACGACATATACCCTTCATTTGCAGCAGAAGAAAGGAACGTGAGGCTTGGACTCTCCACAGCCTATCGAAGCCACAATTGCAGAATTTATACCCTTAACATTCCTATTTGTTTTAATATGTAAATAAATTGCAAATATGGTCCAGATGGTTTTAATCCGTTCAACATGAAGAACAACAAGTATAGTTGCAGGCCTGTTTTGCTGGTAAACTACAACTTGCCACCTGATTTATGCATGAAGAAGGAGAACATAATGCTTACATTGGTGATTCCTGGTCCACATCAGCCTGGAAATAGCATTGACGTCTACTTAGAGCCGCTCATAGAAGATTTAGAACATCTGTGGAATCACGGAAAGCTAACATATGACGCATACAGTAAGTCTACTTTCACTCTCAAGGCGATGATGCTTTGGACGATAAGTGAGTTCCCAGCTTATGGAAATCTTGCAGGCTGCAAAGTGAAAGGTAAAATGGGCTGCCCTTTGTGTGGGAAAAATACGGACTGTATGTGGTTGAAGTTCAGTCGGAAACATGTATACATGTCTCATAGAAAGGGACTGCCACCAACACATAGCTTTCGGGGAAAGAAGTCTTGGTTTGATGAGAAAGTGGAATATGGCAGAAAGGGAAGAATTTTGAGCGGTCGTGAAATATCAAGGAATCTCAGAAATTTCAAGAACGATTTTGGAAACTTGAAACGATCCGCTAGAAAGAGGAAAAAGCCTGTGTGTACATCTGTAGTCGCTGAAGTTGACGTTCTATCAAGTGAATCAGAGGAAGATGAAGAGGAAGAATTAGAAGTAGATGCAGAGGAGTTACTGCGGTGGAAGAAAAACTCAATCTTTTTCAAGTTATCTTATTGGAAGGTACGTTTATATACATATGTGAATAATTTTTGTTTTCAGTGTACTATCAATAAACGTGTCTTAACTCTAGTTTCTTTATTGTTGTCTTTGTTAGGAACTCCCTGTGAGACATAACTTGGACGTGATGCATGTAGAGAGGAATGTGGTTGCAAGTATAGTGGCTACATTGTTGTATTGTGGAAAGTCAAAGCATGGTCTTCAAGCTCGTAAAGATCTAGAGGAGCTTGGTATTAGGAAGGATCTACATCCAACCATCCAAGGAAAAAGAACGTATCTACCAGCTGCACCTTGGTCCCTTTCCAAGACGGAGAAGAAGTTTTTTTGCAGACGACTGTTTGACTTCAAAGGCCCTGATGGATATTGCTCAAACATATCAAGAGGTGTGTCATTGGATGACTGTAAGATCACGGGCCTGAAATCGCATGACTATCACGTCCTAATGCAACAACTTCTTCCCATTGCACTTAGAGGATTGCTACCTAAAGGTCCTAGACTAGCAATAGTACGCTTATGCATGTTTTTCAACCATTTGTGTCAGCGAATCATAGATAGAGAACAACTTCTGGTAATGGAAGCTGAGATTGTTGAGACTCTTTGCATGTTCGAGAGATTTTTTCCTCCAAGCTTTTTCGACATAATGGTGCATCTGACGGTACATCTAGGAAGGGAAGCCCGACTTGGTGGTCCAGTTTATTTCAGGTGGATGTACCCATTTCAAAGGTATGATTTTCATTACATGTGACTCTTTTAGTTGTTATTCGTACTATTGACACTCAATTACCTATGCACTTTCAGGTATATGAAAGTCCTGAAGGACTTTGTGAGAAATTCTGCTAGACCAGAGGGATGCATCGCAGAGTCATATCTTGCAAAAGAATGCATCCAGTTTTGCAGTGACTTCCTCAGGAATACAACAAGTGTTCAAGATAAACTTGATAGGAACATCGAGTATGAAAATGTTTCCATTTTGGAGGGTCGTCCAATCTCTGCAGGCTCTCCAGTAACTCTGACTGAGATGAAAAAGAACATAGCCCATCTCCAGTAACGTTGAACCTTATGTAGAGTAAGTTCACATTTAAATTGATTTCTGAGGAGCTCTTAATGTTTCATCATCTCACTGATTCATTTTATGTGTTTATTCTTGTGAAAGTGAGCACCTATAGCATCTTCAGGATTCAAACGTAAGATGTAGACGGGACGCATCAATACTCTGGAATATGCATACACAGAATTTTGCATCTTGGCTAAAAGAAGAGGTTAGTTACATATACTTTGATTTCTTATTTTCAGTGATATAATGCTATGTATAGGGCTAATTGTATTTACACTTTTGTCAGATAACTCTTGATTCTACACGCCATGGTGAAACACTTAAATGGTTGGCTTATGGGCCTCGTTGCTCTGCGAGATCATACACAGGATATATAGTGAATGGGCAATGGTTTCACACAAATTCAGTTGATAGAAAATGTCAGAATAGTGGGGTTTTTTATGAGGCTACATCCGTCTGTAGGTCTAGTGCGAAAGACACATCACAAGTGGACGATTGGGTCTCTTACTATGGCAGAGTTTCAGAAATTATTTTGTTGGATTATAATGTGTTCTACGTGGCTCTATTTCGGTGCCAGTGGGCAGTACTGGGTAATGGAGTTAAGATAGACGATGGTTTCACACTTGTCAATCTGCATCACAGTCAGACCTCTTTCTTGAGAGATCCATACATATTAGCCTCACAAGCGAAGCAGGTTTTTTACTCTAGGGAAGATGAGCTATCAAATTGGTATGTGGTAATGAGAGGTCCTTCAAGAAGATACAGCAAAGAAGAAGTCCAAGAAGGAAATGCGGACATTGGGCAATTGCCATCAACTGTTGTCATGGATGAATCTGAGATTTCACGATGTGATTGTGAAGGCATATATGTTTGAAATGTAGCTTCTTGATCATTATTAGTTGTTGATGNTCATGCCTGTGTCAACGACTGCTGTTTGTTCAGAAAGAAGTACAAGAAACTTGAGAGTTGTCCTAAATGTAAGATTTCACGATGGAAGACAAACATTCACACTGGTGAAGTGAAGCAAGGTGTGCCACAGAAAGTGTTACGCTACTTCCCAATAATCCCAAGACTGAAGAGAATGTTTAGATCGGAGGATATGGCTAAAGATTTACGATGGCATTTTACTAACAAGAGCACCGATGGCAAACTCAGACATCCCGTGGATTCAGTTACTTGGGATCAGATGAACGACATATACCCTTCATTTGCAGCAGAAGAAAGGAACGTGAGGCTTGGACTCTCCACAGCCTATCGAAGCCACAATTGCAGAATTTATACCCTTAACATTCCTATTTGTTTTAATATGTAAATAAATTGCAAATATGGTCCAGATGGTTTTAATCCGTTCAACATGAAGAACAACAAGTATAGTTGCAGGCCTGTTTTGCTGGTAAACTACAACTTGCCACCTGATTTATGCATGAAGAAGGAGAACATAATGCTTACATTGGTGATTCCTGGTCCACATCAGCCTGGAAATAGCATTGACGTCTACTTAGAGCCGCTCATAGAAGATTTAGAACATCTGTGGAATCACGGAAAGCTAACATATGACGCATACAGTAAGTCTACTTTCACTCTCAAGGCGATGATGCTTTGGACGATAAGTGAGTTCCCAGCTTATGGAAATCTTGCAGGCTGCAAAGTGAAAGGTAAAATGGGCTGCCCTTTGTGTGGGAAAAATACGGACTGTATGTGGTTGAAGTTCAGTCGGAAACATGTATACATGTCTCATAGAAAGGGACTGCCACCAACACATAGCTTTCGGGGAAAGAAGTCTTGGTTTGATGAGAAAGTGGAATATGGCAGAAAGGGAAGAATTTTGAGCGGTCGTGAAATATCAAGGAATCTCAGAAATTTCAAGAACGATTTTGGAAACTTGAAACGATCCGCTAGAAAGAGGAAAAAGCCTGTGTGTACATCTGTAGTCGCTGAAGTTGACGTTCTATCAAGTGAATCAGAGGAAGATGAAGAGGAAGAATTAGAAGTAGATGCAGAGGAGTTACTGCGGTGGAAGAAAAACTCAATCTTTTTCAAGTTATCTTATTGGAAGGTACGTTTATATACATATGTGAATAATTTTTGTTTTCAGTGTACTATCAATAAACGTGTCTTAACTCTAGTTTCTTTATTGTTGTCTTTGTTAGGAACTCCCTGTGAGACATAACTTGGACGTGATGCATGTAGAGAGGAATGTGGTTGCAAGTATAGTGGCTACATTGTTGTATTGTGGAAAGTCAAAGCATGGTCTTCAAGCTCGTAAAGATCTAGAGGAGCTTGGTATTAGGAAGGATCTACATCCAACCATCCAAGGAAAAAGAACGTATCTACCAGCTGCACCTTGGTCCCTTTCCAAGACGGAGAAGAAGTTTTTTTGCAGACGACTGTTTGACTTCAAAGGCCCTGATGGATATTGCTCAAACATATCAAGAGGTGTGTCATTGGATGACTGTAAGATCACGGGCCTGAAATCGCATGACTATCACGTCCTAATGCAACAACTTCTTCCCATTGCACTTAGAGGATTGCTACCTAAAGGTCCTAGACTAGCAATAGTACGCTTATGCATGTTTTTCAACCATTTGTGTCAGCGAATCATAGATAGAGAACAACTTCTGGTAATGGAAGCTGAGATTGTTGAGACTCTTTGCATGTTCGAGAGATTTTTTCCTCCAAGCTTTTTCGACATAATGGTGCATCTGACGGTACATCTAGGAAGGGAAGCCCGACTTGGTGGTCCAGTTTATTTCAGGTGGATGTACCCATTTCAAAGGTATGATTTTCATTACATGTGACTCTTTTAGTTGTTATTCGTACTATTGACACTCAATTACCTATGCACTTTCAGGTATATGAAAGTCCTGAAGGACTTTGTGAGAAATTCTGCTAGACCAGAGGGATGCATCGCAGAGTCATATCTTGCAAAAGAATGCATCCAGTTTTGCAGTGACTTCCTCAGGAATACAACAAGTGTTCAAGATAAACTTGATAGGAACATCGAGTATGAAAATGTTTCCATTTTGGAGGGTCGTCCAATCTCTGCAGGCTCTCCAGTAACTCTGACTGAGATGAAAAAGAACATAGCCCATCTCCAGTAACGTTGAACCTTATGTAGAGTAAGTTCACATTTAAATTGATTTCTGAGGAGCTCTTAATGTTTCATCATCTCACTGATTCATTTTATGTGTTTATTCTTGTGAAAGTGAGCACCTATAGCATCTTCAGGATTCAAACGTAAGATGTAGACGGGACGCATCAATACTCTGGAATATGCATACACAGAATTTTGCATCTTGGCTAAAAGAAGAGGTTAGTTACATATACTTTGATTTCTTATTTTCAGTGATATAATGCTATGTATAGGGCTAATTGTATTTACACTTTTGTCAGATAACTCTTGATTCTACACGCCATGGTGAAACACTTAAATGGTTGGCTTATGGGCCTCGTTGCTCTGCGAGATCATACACAGGATATATAGTGAATGGGCAATGGTTTCACACAAATTCAGTTGATAGAAAATGTCAGAATAGTGGGGTTTTTTATGAGGCTACATCCGTCTGTAGGTCTAGTGCGAAAGACACATCACAAGTGGACGATTGGGTCTCTTACTATGGCAGAGTTTCAGAAATTATTTTGTTGGATTATAATGTGTTCTACGTGGCTCTATTTCGGTGCCAGTGGGCAGTACTGGGTAATGGAGTTAAGATAGACGATGGTTTCACACTTGTCAATCTGCATCACAGTCAGACCTCTTTCTTGAGAGATCCATACATATTAGCCTCACAAGCGAAGCAGGTTTTTTACTCTAGGGAAGATGAGCTATCAAATTGGTATGTGGTAATGAGAGGTCCTTCAAGAAGATACAGCAAAGAAGAAGTCCAAGAAGGAAATGCGGACATTGGGCAATTGCCATCAACTGTTGTCATGGATGAATCTGAGATTTCACGATGTGATTGTGAAGGCATATATGTTTGAAATGTAGCTTCTTGATCATTATTAGTTGTTGATGCCTTTCATGTCTCTGTTGTGTGATTAGTATTTGTTGATGTCTTTCATGTCTCTGTTGTGTGATTATATGTCCTTGATGCCTTTCATTTTTGTTGGTGTTTTTCTTTAAAAGAATTTGATGGTGCTGTCTTACAAATTTTTTTATTATTTGTTTCAGGTAACTTGAAATGGCACGTACTAAGCGGGGACTGACAGCACATAAGAAAAAGCCCTCGGAATTAAGAGATGATGCACATGTGGAAGAACAGCCAGAGTTAGGAGATGATGCACATGTGGAAGATCAACAGAACAACGCAGAGTTGCAGTCGACAGAACAAGAATTTGATCGTGAAGATGAGGACGAACCTGAAGGTGAAGTGGAATTATCTGACCATGATGAGGCTGGAGCTGTACGTAGCCGTAAGAGACAGCGAGGTCCGACTAGGATGAAACACAGAGCCAAGGATCCGAACAACAAACTACAAGTAGATTTCACTTTCACGGGAGAACCTTATGGTTCTGGTTCAGTGAAGTTGTCTTCCTACTTGAGTCCATTGGTCCGGGAACACGTTCCTCTGACACTCACTATTTGGACAAAACTTAGTGAAGCTCTGAAGACACTTCTCTGGAAATCTGTTCAGGTAACATTTCCTCTCGATTAATTTAATTAATCATTTTACTCATATTTTAGCTTGTAATGTTCGCTTAGTGCATTCAATCAGGCAAGGTTTGAACTAGACGAAGATTACCAACGGAAAACGGTGCGGAAGCAGTTGGGATATTTGTGGAGGTCATCGAAATCCTACCTTGTTACCCAAATTCTTGAAGCGACGAATAATCAGCAGAGGATGAATCTGCGACCGAAGAATGTTTCTCCAATTGATTAGCGCAAGTTTGTGAAGCTCAAAACCAGTCAAGAATTCAAGGTATATCTAAGTAACGCTTGTTTCATATACAGTTCGGATCACAATAACCATTCCTTTATTAGGCCCTCAGTGATAGCTACAAGGAAAGAAGGCGTAAACAGATTCTTCACACTTGTAGTCGTAAAGGAATGGTTAGACTTACAGAAGAAATGGTAAGTATATTCCATATTATGTTGTATTTTTAGTTCAGTCAGTTTTAAAATAATAATTTGATTTTCTTTTTTTCCAAATAAATCTGCAAGTGAAAACCCCTCTGAGGTGACTCGCCTGAAGGTGTGGGTGAAGTCTCGTACGAGGAAAGATGGTACACCGGTGAATACGAATGCTGCTGAGAAGATGGTGAGAACCTAAATTTTTGTTACTAATATGTTTGCTTTCTCATATGTTACCATTTGAAATCAATACTTTGTCATGCACAGAAAAAGGCATCTGAGGTAGTCCTTAGCGCTACTCCAAACACTGATACAAATGAAGGTGAAGATACACTTACCCAACTGTTAGGACCTGATAATTCGGGCAGAATGAGGGTCATGGACAGGAACATGACTAAGACGAAATTGGCTTGTTTCGAAGTGAAACACAAGTGTATGACTGAAATGCAAGAGAAACAAGTACATCTCCAGCAGAAGGTGAATGAGTTGCAAGCTGAAATTGCAAACCTTAAAAATCAGGTTAGTAACTGTTCTATTAATACGTCTAATGATGACAATTTCTGAGAGTAATTTCTCACTAGGTTACTTTTCTTCATAGCGACAAGAACCAGAAGTTGGTGAAAATTCTGCTGCAAAAGTAAGCTGTGATTTGTAAGTTTTCATTCGTATACAGCGAAGAGAACCTGACATATATTTTCTTATTTACTCTTTCAGAGTGTCAACAAAAGATCAGAACCCAAGTGTGTTTTGGTTGACTGGGCTGGTACTGACGCAAACGTTGCCGAGGGAAGAATTATTTCTTCTAAACCTAATGACTTGGTGAATGGCACTCGCTTAGGCCCCACAGATGTGAAAGTAGTTGTTGATTCTGCAACTGTACCAGATGCATTCCTTTGGAGACCTGCAACTAACATGTTTACAATGGTGGAAGCTGTTGGACAAATGATTGCATGGCCTGCTTCTAAATGTGTTCATCTAAAACCGGCGAAACAAGTTGTAGACATCATACCCCTGGTAGTAGTTCAGTCTCTTAATATTTAACTTAGTCACAATATATATAGATTTATGATGATGAAATAAGTGAGAATGACTGTTTGAATTTCTCATGTCGTATCTTGCCAAGGACAAAGAGAGACATCAGTAAACAAATGCAAACTATTTGATTTGTCTTCAAATGATGTTGTTGTTGCTGAAGGACGCTGGCAGACAGACGAACCGAAAACTTTGGTTAATGGTCTACCTCTTGGACCAAAAGCAGTGAAAGTATTCATTGATCAAGTGCATCAGCCGGAGACATTTATATGGAGGTCTACGATGGAAACGACATACATTGAGGACTGTCTAATGTCTTTTGTAGCATGGCCTGCCACCAAAATTGTCTTAGAAAACTCAAGAGATGGAACTGGCTATAAATCTCCTTTTCAAAACTCTGTTTCAACTGACCAAACCGCAGGAGGGAAATCAGTGGGCACTGCTTCTGGTTCTATGGAGATGTCATTTAAATCGGATGCGACAGGTTCAAAGTCAGCAGCCAAAGTTTCAAATTCGGCTAATGATAAGTCTCCAGAAACATATCCGGTAAATGCCTTTTCGATGTGTTCATATATTGCTTATGTTTACTATTTTCACTGTGTATTATGTGGTTGATATTGAAAACACGGAAGCTTAAACAGGGAGTAGAGGTTATCAAGGAAAATCAGAAGTGCAAGTTGATGGATATTAGTGGAAGAAAGCTGGTTGTTGCTGAAGGTCGTGTGCATTCGACCGACCCAGAACAAAAGGTACATTTTGTTAGATTGGGGTTTGGTGCAGCAAGAGTTTGGGTAGACATAGTCAAAGTTGATGATGCAGCAGTGTGGAAGCCATCAGATGAAATCGAGACTGTGAAAGATGCACACGGTTCATCAATTGCATGGCCCATGGATAAATTGGTCATCTATTGAGAAGGAGAAACAAAAGGTATGTTAAGTAATTACTGCATTGTTTCTGCGTTTGATTTGAAATGAGCAAGGCTTTATGGTAAACTGATGAAAGACATAACCGTTTATTGCAGGGGATGAAGCAAGTTTGGTCCAGATTAGCTAGTGTTAACTTGTTTAAGACTAGACTAATCTAAAAATTTACTTGTCTTATGTTATCTTTGTCTGAATGGAATCTTCACATTTGGACTTATATTATCTTGTTTGAATGAATCTTCCATTTGATGACTTGTGTTATGTATTTGGATTCACATTTCTGTTATGAATGGTGGATTTGTATTATGCAATACATTTTATTGATGGAATACATTTTATTATGCAAGAGTTTTTATAGCTTTTAGAAAATACATATAACAGCAAAAACAAAAAGAGCAAAACTTATTTCATAGCATGAAAAAAAAAGCCACGAATTAGTATATTATAGCAGATCTCTAAATTGAACAGAGTAATGCTGAAGAGCTATAGTATATGCCATTGTTTTATAGCAAGGAATATGATTGCTATTGTATGAGACTCTACCATAGCAACTAATATACTTGCTATTGTATAAGGGTCTACCACAGCACGAAATCAGAGTTGTCATCCAACGGTATGCAGCTTTCAAATAATGCTATGATATCTGAATCTATCATAGCTTTCTAAAAAAATGCTATCGTATGGGTACCACCTAACATAGCTGCCGATGTCATAGCACTTGAGAAAACGCTATCTAATACATATGATAGCAAATTTTTCGTGCTAACAATGTATATATTTCTTGTAGTGCATAATGTGGAGGCACAGAGCTACATTTTGGACTCCTTACCTCTACATGTTCCCAAATTTGATCCATTTGATGTGACTCCCTTGGATTGAGACCGTTTCATTCATGTTTCTCCTCATAGTCATGTATAGAACCTATTAATCCATGTTTGGGTAAGTATGGGTCCGTCTAGTTCATCATATACACTAAAACTAAGTTCCCACAATGCGGACGCACATAGCTACATTTCGGACTCCTTACCTCTTCCCGTTCCCAAATTTGGTCCATTTGATGTTACCCTTTTGGATTGAGACCGTTTCTTTCATGTTTCTCCTCATAGTCATGTATAGAACCTATTAATCCATGTTTGGGTAAGTATGGGTATGTCTAGCTCATCATATACACTACAACTAACAATTCAAATTGAGAAAATAGTGTCCTTATCCTCAGCTGTGTTAGTATATGCTATTTTGCTCCATATAAGTGAAGCTCCATGACAAAATTTTACAAGCTCCTTGCCTTTATTGTCTAATCTTTATGTTCTCATCTTTGTCACTCACAATTTATGTAGATGGAATCTGTTCAATCTGAGAAAGGAAATTCGAGATTTGATGGAGAAGAAATGGAGACAGATTGTGGTGATGAAACCAGAGCAGCTCCAACTCCAACAGCCGACTCTGTCGAATCTAAGGTATCTGGTAGAAAAAAATCAGTAGCGTGGGATAACTTTAGGAAGATCAATGTGTATAGAGCGGAGTGTATACACTGTATAATCAGGAAGTCACTTATATATCAGTGAAAAGTATGAACACTAGTACTATGTTGAATCATATGGCTAGGTGTAAAATGTTGCATCTAGAAGCTGATGTTGAGGTTGTTGGTAGTAAGAGATTTAGGCAAGCTACTTTGATGCATAAAGAGAAAAAGAATCAGAATAAGGAAGTTGTGCCATCGTACCTGCAGTATAATGAATAAGATTGCAAAAATGGTTTAATCATAATGATTATAAAGGATGAGATGCCTTTTAGGGTTGTGAAAAGAGAAGGATTTCGAGATTTCATCTACATTCTGCAGTCTCGCTTTAAAATTCCTTCAAGAAGAACAGTCACTAGAGATGTCTTGAGTATGTTTTTTGAAGATAAGGAAAAAAAGCTCAAGATGGTATTTGAGAAACATAGAGGGAGTGTTTGTCTCACAACAGATACTTGGACTTTCAATTCAGAACATCAACTATATGTGCTTAACAGCACATTACGTTGATGATAACTGGAATCTGAAGAAGAAGATTATAAATTTCTTCCAGATTTTTAGTCACAAAGGCGAGCTAATTGGAAAAATGGTTGAGAGGTGCTTGTTGTCTTGGGGAATCACCAACGTTTTCACAATTACAGTAGATAATGCGAGTGCAAATGATGTAGGAATCAGATTCTTAAAGAGAAGACTAAAGACATGGTGTACTAGTCTTATTGATGGTGAACATCTTCACATGAGATGTGGTGCACGTATTCTGAATCTCGTTGTCAGAGATGGATTGGATGACAATAAAGCCACCATTAGCCGAATCAGATCTGATGTTCGATATGTTAAGTCCTCTCCAGCAAGATCAAACAAGTTTAAAGAATGTCTAAGACACTTGAAGATGGCGTCTACTGCTGGTGTAAGTCTCAATGTTGAGACAAGATGGAACTCAACATACTTGATGTTGGAGTCAGCTTTGATGTTGAAGAGGGGTTTTGATATGCTTGCCTTAGATGATGATAAATATGTTTCAGAACTTGGGAAGTTAGAAGGTGTCCCTACAGAAGCAGATTGGGAATACGCAAAGGCTTATACACCTATTCTCAAGTTTTTTTACGATGCCACACTGAAAGTTTCTGCAACTCGTTTTGTGACTGAAAATTTGTATCTGAAAGAGATCTTTGGAGTTGGTTTAATGATTAGAAAGATGGGGCTCAACAAAACTGACATTAATCAAAAAGTCATAGCTTCTAGAATGAAGGCTAAAATTTGATAAATATTGGGGAGGTATGGAGAGCATGAACGTGATGATCTTTCTTGCTTGTGTTATTGATCCAAGGTACAAGCTGAAGCATGTGAGTTTCATTATCCGTGAGAGCTACGGTGGTGGTGAAAATAGCATAGCTGGCGAGTTGTTTGCTAGAGTGAAATCGGTTTTGGAGCAGATGTTTAGCATTATGAAGCTAAGGCTTCTTATTCTCCAATGCATAACCAAGCTAAAGGAGTAAACCCAGCTTCAGAAACAGTTGAACAAGTCGAGGATGCTTAGGACCTTGATTCTCTCATCGACATACATGAAGAAAGTGAAGAAAATTATAATGATCAGTCAGAACTAGAGAGCTATTTGAGTGAGCCATGTGCTTCTAGATCAGATCCCAACTTTGATATATTACTTTGGTGGAAAAGGGCAGCTTCAAGGTTTAAGATTCTTTCTCTAATGACCAGAGATCTGTTGGCTATACCTGTCTCAACTATTGCTTCTGAGTCGGCTTTTAGTACAAGTGGCCGTGTTATTGATCCTTTTCGTAATTCTCTAACTCCAAGAACAGTTGAAGCTTTAATTTGCACCCAAGATTGGATTCGCAATGACTATGATCAGACTTCTTTGGCAGAACAACTTGAGAGTCTTGAAAGTCTATAAGATGGTATACACTTCTTATCTTTATCTTACAAGTTTTATTTATGAACTTACATGTTTTATTTTGTTTAACAGAGATTGTGGCTTCAAATACTTATGCAAATTTGGTTCAAGGAGTTAGCTTAACTTTGGAGAAAGAATAAAAGGTAAGAATACTTTCTGTTTTTTATAGGTTGCTTGCTTCGAATGATTATCAGATAAGAAGATAATGTAGCCAACCTTATCACTTTGTTTTAGATGAACAAAAGGAACTAAGAAGAAGTGAAGAACACAAAAAGCTTCACGAGAGGAAAGAAATGATGGATTACGGATGACTAAAACAAGGAAGTTCCATGTTTCAAATGTTTATGTTTTCTTTTGTTTTGTCCTGTTTTTCTATGCTAAAGACTTTAAGTATTTATGTTTCTTCGGATGTTTGAAAACTTGGATAAGTGGATTGTTAAGAAACTTGTATGCTTGGAAACTTGTATGTTTGGATTGTTGGCTTGTTTAATTTGTTCCGGGCAAGTTATTTTTACATAGTATTTGTAGGTCACAAGGCAACAAGGCAAGGCAGGATATTTGCGAGTCTTTAAATTTATGGCAGATACTTGTAAGAACAGGTACTCGTATTTCACAAGTCAGGTACAGGTAGGGGCAAGGCGGGTCGCAAATATAGCAAAAACTACAAGTACCTGCCCCGTGCCCAAGCCTACATGTGGCAGATACGCGGAAGAGGGTTCATCTCAATTTCGAGAGTTATAAAGGAAGCAAGACATCAGTTAAGAAAGGAGATCTGATTTTACATCTTAAAAATACCATTAATCTTTCAAATTCATTCTTTGTATTTTCCTTTGAGTTTATTTTCTTGAAACTGTTTCATCTGATAAATACGTCTGTTTATTAAATATTTGTTTACATTCAATTGACTTACAAGACAATCTAGCCATAAATTCCTTATAGGTTTTTTTGTGCAAAACATTTAGCTGTCGAGTGTGGTTTCTAACACCCACAAGGCCACAATTGGTTTATGTTAATCAAAAGGTAGTTTGTGTGTAGAAATATTCATTCATAGGTAAACATTAAATGTTTTTCTTAATATTTGTGAAGAAAACTAAAATATCTTATATTGTGAAATAGATGAAGTATTATGTTTAAAACACTTAATTATCAAATAAAATATGAAAACTGACTTTTACATAACCCGTATTTAAACTGAAAAATTCAAAACAATCAAAAAGTAACTCGTTTGTGAATCTTTTTAATACTTATTAGAAGTTTCAAAATAAAAATGGTCTCTAATATTTTTAATGGCTTTCAGTTTTGATTTGAATGTTACAAATGAAAATTTGTGGGAGTGAAGTTCTGTTTGATTTAAATGAAATTCCATTGGAACAAAAATGTTTTAAAAACGATGAAGTAGTACTTTCTTTCACTTAATTGTGAAAACAAATTATATTATGAAATAAAATTAAATATATAAGAGAATGTTTTTTAAAATACACATTTTGTAGTGTACCTATCTTCAAAATTATAGTTTGAAGATGTTAATTTTGAAAACTATAATTATAATATTAATATATATGTTCGGTTTACTAATCCTAGATATTTACAGTTTTTATTTTAGAATTTAGGATTTATAGATTTTTTTTTCTTAAAATATAGTTTTGAATATGGACATCCTACAAAAATATAGTTTTGAAATTTCCATACATTCTGAAATTGGGAGGGTACTATCATGAGGAAATGATCTATTTTCGAAATCATATCAAATATTGTTTCTCTTTGCCAACTTGCTTATGTATTTTTTGTGAATGTCCGTATCACAAATGTGAATGACATCACACTTTTTCTTGGGTTTTGTGCAAAAAAACCATCAAACTAAATTAAATTTGCAAAATAAACCCTCACCTTTTTTCTGTGCAGGTCAATCCCCCCAACTCGTAAGTCACCCGCTAAACAGCCCCTACGTGTATCGTCGACGTGTTTCTTTTTTAGCCTTATAAAAAACTGTAAAACACTGCGTTTTGGCATTAAAACAGGACGCAGTTTTGCTTCTCCATGCCGTTTTCGGACAAAACTAAAACACGTTGTCGGGATTTGATTTGGGGAAAACAGAAAATCGATTTGGGGAAAATTCAAATTAGGGTTCTTGGCGATTGGCTATTGACTTTTGGTGTGGACTTGTAGAAGCTGAAATCGATTGCTGTATCGTTTTCTTTCTTCCTGTGGTCTGAATTACTTGGAGGATGCTGATGGGTCCAACGACGTGACCCTAAGATCGTGGATTGCCGAAATCCATAAATCTTTCGGAGATAAGGTTTTGGAGAAATGGGGTTGTGATCTCCCGTTTCTATTCAAGGTACATACATCTATACATTGCCACATTGTTGATTTTTTCGACAAAATCTCTGAACTTTACCATTTGCAGAAACAAATTTTCCTCATTTCTTATGTTGTGAGTTGCAGAAATGTAATCTTGATATTGTAAAATTTGATAGGTGTTGTCGATGGCAAGGCCCTTGTCGATCTAAGCACATCCAAATAAGAAATTGGCAAAGAAAATGCACAAAGCTCATCCAACTCTTTATAAAGACAGACAATCACAAACCAAGGATGGCTTTGGCCTCTACCCAATTTGAGGCCTTGTGTGGGTTTATACCTCTTCAGGTATCAATTTCTCTGTCATCTCTATCTTTATCGTCCTCAATTTTTTTTTTAAACGTTAGAGATGAACTTTGCAATGTCTCACTTAATTTCTCAAATGGACAAGTATGGCACATGTTGTTTTGTCTGTTTCCGTGATGTAAATCGTTTGCATGAGTGATGGTTAAAGAATGTATTGTCTATTTTTCTTTTGCTTAACCTTTGAGACAAGTTTTAGATAATGTGTTGAGGTCTTTCCCAATGTTCGAGTTTGGATTCGCTGAACAAATCTATCTGTTTATTTCCCAAAACTCAAGTATTGTTAGCTTACTTTCCAGAATTGTTTCTTGGACTAATGTTGCAGGAGCTTAAGAGTGTCATTGGGGATATTCCCGAGATTGAAGAACTTGTTGGGAGTGAAGAAGCAAACCAAGTCTTCTGCATCAGTGAACATAATGAGGAGAAAGTGAAGTCTGCTGTGCGAACAATCTTCACCGTGCTAATGTCTGCAGGTCCTGATACAACAAAGGCAATTGTATTCAAACTAAAACGCCGTCTGCATATGGAGAGTCACGTCAGCCATGGAACTTCCATGTTACTGTCTACTTTGCTCTTCATTTGCTCTTCTTATCACGTTCTATTTATGCCTGAAGATTCACTTAAAGTCTCCATCTTACTTGAAGCTGGACAAGGCAGGAGTGAACAATAGGTTTTTGTATTCTCTATAGTTGAACTACACACAAGCTTTTTCTTGGTTAAATTAAACTTTGTCAACAAAAGTTATATTTAAACAATGTGAAATTTTTTGAGAGAAAGCTTGAAGCATAACAGATGAGTTTGTTAAATAGAACTTTGAAGAAGACTTCAATTGATAAAACAAGAAAATCTTTTCGAAAAAGTTATACTCGCACACAGCTCCCTATCCGACAAAAAAAAAGAACCAAACAAATCATCTCTCAAGCTTCGACTGGGTACTCGAAAACTACATCTCTTCCAGTAAGTTTCCTGTACACACAAACCATCGACTCAAGCTTGTACTCGGTGTTGTTCTTCTCCTTAACACGTCCAAATAGACCTGCCATAGTTCAGGAGATGCATTATGTTAGCGAGCAGCTTATAACATTTAAAGAGGATCAATATATGTATTTAGCTTCACTACCTTCATGATCTTGGTTCCATCAAGGCATCAACATGGTATCTGGTTCGTTTTCCTACAATTTCAGCAGGGTAAGCAACATCCTCGAGCATTGATTCATGGACAGAAGTGAGAGTTCTGTTGTGTGGTCTCTGAATAGTTGAGCCTTTCTTTGGGGGACGCACAATTCTTCTGGTGGCGACAAACATAACATCTTTGCCACTGAACTTCTTCTCAAGCTCTCTGACAAGACGAGAATGAATCTTGCGGAAAGCTTTCCTCAATCTAATTGGAACGTAGATCACAACAGCCTTACGGTTGCCAGAAATATCCAAGTGACTGCACAGAAAAAAAAAAAAACGAAGAGATCTCAGTCGAGAAAGCAAAGTTAAAATCCTTGCAACCACGAGAAACGACTACATACACTGCTTAGCTAATGTACAGATATTTCAAGTCACTTTTCAGCTCCTGGTTGGTGTTCTCCAAATCAAAGAAAGCCTGCGCAATAAACATTATAATCAATCATAAACCCAAGAACAGAAAAAGCCAAAACAAACACAGGAAGAAAGAAAACGATACAGCAATCGATTTCAGCTTCCATGAGTCCACACCTAAAATCAATAGCCAATCGCCAAGAACCCTAATTTGAATTTTCCCCAAATCAAATCCCGACAACGTGTTTTAGTTTTGTCCGAAAAGGCATGGAGAAGCAAAACTACGTCCCGTTTTAATGCAAAAACGCAGTGTTTTGCGGTTTTTTATAAGGCTACAAAAGAAACACGTCGACGATATACGTAGGGGCTGTTTAGCGGGTGACTTACGAGTTAGGGGGATTGACGTGCACAGAAAAAAGGTGAGGGTTTATTTTGCAAATTTAATTTAGTTGGATGGTTTTTTTGCACAAAACCCCTTTTTCTTCCATCAAATACAACTTTCTATTTATTTTTTGCAAATACATAATTTATTTTATTTTCTCCGGAAAGTCAACTAATTTCACATTAGAAGTTAACATGCTTGAAGTATATTTTTTGTAATCAAATTTTAAAATTACAACCTGATCTATATATAAAAAAAAAGCCTGGAAATAAACGTTGACAAAACAAAAAAAACTGTAATTAAAACGTCTACTAATTATCACACCAAAAACCAAAAAAAAAAAAATGTCTACATAATACACGTGGCAGTTGGAGTTATGTTAAAAATAAGTCGTCGTTGGGCCCGGTCTAATATAAACAGTTAGAATAAGATGCCAAATAGTCAGAGTCAGACACACAGAAAAGGAAGAGCTGATCGGTAAACGTCATCGTTTTAAGACCGAATCCCAACTCCATAGTCCATATATATAAATGTTAAAGCTTTTAGCTTTATACGTGTGCTTTTGTTTGAAAGAAAAGCACACAGACAAACACATGTTCTTCGTTGCTGCTTCGTTGGGTTAAAATACTTTTGGGAAGTCAAAGATACAAAAACAAAAACTCTAATTAAGGTTTGTTCTTTCCTTCGATGCTTGATTCTCACTCTTTTTTTTTCTTCAGATCTGTATGTTTTAAATTTGTTCTATATGTTTGTAAATTTTTTTGTGCTGTGATTCTTGAAAATCAACTAAACCTGGTTATGATTCTGAACTCTCTCTTTGTGTGTGTGTGTTTTGATTCTTTGGATTTGAATATCGATTAAAGTTGTGAATTGCAAAAATCTCGTGGATTTTTTCTGCCTTTTGACTAGTGAAATAGTATTAACCAAGATTGCTTCTAGTTTGTTTTCTTGGATCCGAATGCAGAAAATAGAGTAATTAGGTTTTGGTTTAGGAGAATCTGTCAAAAAGAAGACTGAAAACAGTAAGACTTTTTATGGAAAGAACAGAAGTCCATTTTTAGTAGATATGCTGAAAATTCTTGTAATACCAAAAAAAATCTGGTGATATCATAATCACTCCCCTGTTAAATAACGGTATTAACTTTTACTCATTTTCAGCAGAAATGGAGAATCTACCTCCCGGTTACCGTCCCAATGTTGGTGTTTGTCTAATCAACTCGGATAATCTGGTAAGCATTTCATCATCCAATTCAGTTCTCTGATTATAATTACTGTTTTGCCACGGGTAATAATTACACTGAGTTTGTGACTGTCTGTTATGATTTACATTTTACAGGTATTTGTAGCTTCTAGATTGAATGTTCCTGGAGCATGGCAGATGCCACAGGTATGTGTGTTTTCGATTTAGGGGCTGACATTCGGTTATTAGGTTCGATAATGATATTTGCGTGTTTTCCATCTGATTAGTCCCCACAAAGCTGACGAGTTTTGTCCCATATGATTAAATTCTTCATCTAAATATTCAAGGTGCTAAAACGTTAGTTGTTTAGAAAAAAACGTACCATATTATCGATGTTTAATTTATACCACACTCTAGTGGAAAATGATGGTTAAGATTTTGATTAAGAAGATTACCTGAAAATGTTTGCTCTGCTTAGCGATTATCTTAAAAGTAATGTATAAAGCTCACTAAACCGAGTTATATTATAGGGAGGCATTGAAGATAGGGAGGATCCAAAGTCAGCAGCCATGAGAGAGTTACAAGAAGAAACTGGGGTCGTTTCAGCTGAAATCATCGCTGAGGTCTCTACTCGTTACGAGCACAAAACAAAATGATTATGAATCAGATGATTTTTTTTATCAAATTATTCTCTCTGGTTCTTCAATGTCTAAACAGGTTCCAAACTGGTTGACATATGATTTCCCACCTGCAGTAAAAGCAAAAGTTAACCGTCTCTGGGGAGGTGAATGGCATGGTCAAGCTCAGAAATGGTAAGTCTTGGTTTACCACGCTAAAGTTTTTTGCAATTTGAACACAACAAGAAGAAGAGAATGAATGGCTCATTGTTTTAGAACCTAATGAACCCATACAGGTTTCTAGTGAGACTGAGACACGATGAGGACGAAAGAGAGATCAATCTAGCGAACAACGAAGCGGATTCAGAGTTTGCGGAGTGGAAATGGGCGAAACCGGAAGAAGTGGTAGAGCAAGCAGTTGATTACAAAAGGCCAACTTACGAACAAGTCATCAAGACATTTGGTTCTTACTTGAACGATACAGGAAGAGCTGCTAAATGTAAATCAGCCAAGTGGTAATAATAACAATCCAAAAAATCAATGTTTGTATAAACTGAAGTTGTTTTTCTTTTTCTTTGGGGGCTTTTAGTTTGGAAGGCAAAAGCTTTCTCTAGGGGGTCTTTTCTTGTCAATTTTTGTAAATTTGTTACTGGCACTAGAGGGTTTTGGTTTTTTCCTTTATTGTAATAATGAACTAGTCTTTGTCTGGATTCAAAAAGGAATTGTGATGTGTATGTGTTTATGACTAAAGTGTAAAGAAAATTCAAAGAGACAATTATTGTAATTATCACAAATTAGTAAGTACCATTGGGAAAGAAATGATAAAAACGTAACATGATTTTTGTATTTTAGAACGAACTCGTCGGTCCACGTTTTCGTAAGAAGTTAAAGCAGAACAGGTGTGTGTGTCTGTGTTCGTAAAGGTAAAGAAAATTTTAAGGTTAAAAATAAAGATATGAATGAACAACAAACCAAACATTCTTCAGTTTCAAAACCCGTATTCCAAGACATAACAAAAGGGACAACAAACAAAACCAAACCAAAGTTCAAGGAAAAAAAAAACCAAACCACTTGGACAAATTCTTATGAACTAAAACTAAAGAGAAAGGAGATGGATAGGTAAATAATGGTTCACCGGTTAATATGAATTCACTGGCAAAGCTGCTCGACGGCAGTCACGATCTGAGCCGGTTGAACCACAGTCCACTCCTCCAGAGTACCGGCGTAAGGTGTAGGAACGTCCTGAGAAGACAAACACATGACCGGAGCATCTAAATAGTCATTAAAATTCTCGTTTATGGCAGCCGTAAGACTAGCTCCAATCCCACCGGTTCTCATGCACTCCTCAACGATCAAAACCCGGTGAGTTTTCTTAACCGAGTTTCCGATGGTGTAAAGATCGAACGGTTTTAGCGACCTGATATCGATAACCTCAGGGTCATACCCTTTGTTCACCAGAGTTTTTGCTGCCTGCAATGTGTTCGCCGGGTCTAACCATCTCAGCTTCTTCCAGATTACAGATGTATTCTTCGTCCGGGATATTCTCCTTGAGATTGTAGAGCAGAACGTGTTCAAACAGAATCACAGGGTTCTCGCTTCTTATCGCGGCTTTCATCAAGCCTTTGGCGTTGTAAGGAGTCGAGCAAGCAACCATCAGGATCCCGGGGATGGACTGGAAGTAAGATTCTAACCGCTGCGAATGCTCAGCACCAAGCTGGCGTCCCACTCCTCCGGGACCACGGATGACAACTGGGATTGTGGACTGACCACCAGAAGTGTAATGAAGCATTCCACAGTTGTTGGAGATTTGGTTGAAGGCGAGAAGGAGGAAACCCATGTTCATACCTTCGATGACAGGTCTTAGACCAGTCATGGCAGCTCCAATGCCCATACCGGTGAATGCATTTTCACAGATAGGAGTGTCAAGAACCCTGAGGTCGCCAAATTTATCAGCAAGGCCTTTGGTCACCTTGTAGGAGCCTCCGTAATGGCCTACTTCTTCCCCCATAACACATACATGTGGATCTCTGTCCATCTCTTCTTCGAGACCTTCTTGAAGAGCCTCGAAAAGCAATAGTTCATGTCTGCAAGTTTATAAGATAAATTGGTTATAACTGTGTTGTGAAAATGTGTTATTTGTGACAAGATATACATCAAAGAAAATGCATAGGTGAAATCAACGGCTTATGTGAGACTAGAAAGAAGAAAAAGTAAATCTCTAATGGAAACAGTAAGGCAAAAATGTCCCTGCGGTTTCTGAGATATTATACAATGTGTCCATGGGAAGTAACTAAATGGATTGATGTAAAAATCTCCAACCTAACCACCACAAACAAAGACATAAATGGGATGATTACTAAAAGCAAAGAAATGCAACACATTCATCTTTTGCAACCACTGTCAATTTTCGATTCGAAACCAGCGTCTCGTCTCTGAAGACCTTAAATCTCGCCCTTTCAAGCTTTTCCAATCAAGAATTGGCCAGGACGCACAATAGTTAGAACTACCTACTTTCTGGCTAACTTCGAATCCCATCGAGATGAAATCAATGTTTTTAAACAAAGGCAGAGACAAAGAGAAAGCAAAGGCATATATACAACAAACACATATGAAAGATGTAAATCGGAGATTTAGTCTGCATGCCATGCTTATCATTTTGTTCAGGAAAGAGATAATTAAATTGAGTAAAATCAATATCCAATTCGCAAAGCATAGAATGTGCAAAACATTCCCAGTGCCAGTGGTTGCAGATGTGCCCGCCTTCGTCTACAGAACAAAACAAAAAAAACCGATGTGAGATCATTGCCGATTCAAAGGACGAGAAGGAGAGCCACATTTATACAACGCTTTACCGCAACAGCATTTGAAATCAATTTCTGAGAGTGATGAACTCTGAGACCAGAACCCGAGCGCTTACTAGCATCAGATCCAGCGACAATGCATCTCTTGCTCCTCGCTGCATCAAAAGCAAACAAGGGAACAACTAAAGATCTCACAAATCCACTAGAAATCAATCAAGCAATTGAATCGTCCACATATAATGCAGATCGCCAAATTCCAAATCGAAATCAAAACCAAAACGGTACAAAACCGAACCTGGAAGATTTGTGCGAGAAGAGGAAATGAGTTTCTTCGAATCGACGGAATTAAACGTCGACAAGGCTGTTGCAGCTCCATGGATTGTAGCAGACATTATTCCACAGAGCTCGGGGCAGTTTTGAAGGATTTTGGAGTGGGCAGTTAACTATAAAAAAGCTATACAAGTGTTTATAAACAGAAATGGCGATACAGAGTGACGAGATGAGGATTCGAAGAATTAAGGAAAACTGTGAAATTGTGATATCGGTTTTCTTTTTATTATTATTATTGTTTCGTCATGTTTCGACATTGTTTTCATCGCCATGCAAACCTCTCTTCTCTTGGGCCTCTCTATAGTTTAGTAACTAATACAAAGATGACACGTATTATTTTTATTACTACATTGACACGTGTTTGTACCTAATTTGTGGAATAAATTAATACTTTATGAACAAGCTTGCAGAGTAGGCTTTAAGCGCTTAACCACCGAAACCAACAAAGTGAAAGCTTAAGGTTTGATTATTCATGTGCTTTTTAAATAAAAAAATTAGTTGTTCATTAAATTTAGTCTAAATTTTTTAAAGACATTGTATATGGATGCTAAAAACATAATTAAGGAAGAAATTTAGGGAATTTAAGGCGAATTTTTTTCGTAAATCAAATAAATCATAAACAAGGATTTGACAAAAGGAATTTATATCTTATATATATAATAAGTGTTGGACTCGGATTCCACACCAGGAATTCAGCCCGTGAGGGTCCATTATCTTGATCCAAATTTGGAACCCAAGCCTAGAAGGAAGACTTCAAGCCCACCAAACATCTCTATCTGAGTCCAGCTAAATGCCATCCGAGCTATTCTGGTTGACGTAAAGAGGAGCTCCAGCTCGATCAAGGACCAGGTCCTTGTGACAAAGAAAGAAGAAGTCAAAGAGGATCGTTAGTTGCACGTGGCGAGATGCGCGGAAAAAGTTCGGAGTTACGTTTGGAGTTATAAAAGGAGCTGGATGCCAGTCGGATCGAGGACGGTTTCCTGACTATTCTCAGATCTAGTTCTTACGATTTCACCTTGTATTCTTCTTGAGATTAGTTCTTATTTCTCTTTAGAGATTTTTTGTAACCTTTTTCATTGATTAATATAAATCTCTTTTCGACAAATTCTTGCTTACGATTCATTCGACGTACATCAAAATCTAGCCCTAAATCTCCCTAAGTTTCTTCCTTGCAAAACCTATAAATTTCGAGTGTGGTTTTCAGCACATTTTGGCGCCGACTGTGGAGAGAAAACATAGATTTTCTTACACAACGGTCGAACCTAAGGCAGGTAAGAGCGAAAATCGATTCAATCCAGTCGCAAACCCAGGGATCTAACTCCCAAAACTCGATCAGATCACCTAGAACACTGACATACCTCTATTTTAGATGCTTTTTATGCTATTTTACTATGGTTGGGACAAACATGATTTAGTGGAGTTCTTTTTCACAACTGGTGAAACCAAAGAGAAAGTACACAAACTTTTTCAGAAGGCACGTTTTCCCATCGCCCTCACGCAGTCAATCAACCATCATCTCCACCACCCACACCAACCGTCAATTCCATATCAAGAGAGAAGCTTGCTGAGTTCAACCAGTTTGTCCAAACTCTTCCAGCCAGCATGTCATTCCAACAAGCTTGGCGACACTATCTATTCACCACCTTCTTCCACAATTGCAAGGAGACACCACAAGACATCAAGGAGCTTTTTGAGAAGGCTAAAATACAACCCACATTCAAAATCCTCTACAAGATTGAAGACCCAGGTCAAGTCTCTATACCTTGTCAAGTAAATGGTCATTACTTTGATAGAACACTTTGCGATTCTGGATCTTGCATCAACTTCATGCCAACCCAAACCGCCAAACTCCTTGGTATCACACGCTTACAACCTACTCAGATTAGTACTGGACTTGCTAATCATACTATTGTCAAACCAAGAGGAGTAGTAGTTGATGTTCTTCTAGAGATTGGAGATACCAAGATCCCGGTGGATTTTCATGTTATGAACATCAAAGGAGGATGTGATACGCCCTTGATACTAGGCCGACCTTTCTTGGCCACTGCTGGTGCTATTATGGACTTCCAAACAGGCGAATCTCTTTAGCCAATGTTAACAAGACAGTTTTCTACAACACCATACCTTTCATCTCACCAAACAAGCTGTCCTACTTCATTACCTCTCAAGGCCGCCCAAGAGAACCACCTGACCATGCTCAAGGACGTGATGAGACACGCACTAAAAGGCTTTGTCTCAGATCATGCCCTTATCCCCTCTCTAACTAAGAGATCCTATCGGTCAAGCTAATGACCCTAAACAAGCTCTGCATGGGAGGCAACCCATGAAAGGTGTTATTTTTTATCTTTTCTTTTCAATTATTTTAGTTAATGTCTAGTTTTGTTTTGAGTTTTGGATACAAGAATCTAAGAACCACACAATGATAAAGAAGATTCACTATAAAGAAGAATGCTCATAGTTGGCACGACCCTGATGGCCGAGCAGAACCTCTCCACGTCGCCATGTCCTCTCGAGTCGCCCAACACACCATCCCATCTCATTCCATCTGCATTTCGACCATCCCACCTCACCACACTTGCATTCCATACTCTACCACCATCATTCCACTGCATACACCATTCTTCATAACACATACCAAATCAGGTTACATCTTTCTTTTTACATTCACAATCGCCTACTACCTCTTTCTTTAACTCCCTTAATTGGATTTTCTTTCACCGGGACGGTGCAAGTTAAGTCTGGGGGGATTGTCGGTACTAATGCGTTTGTTCATGATTTTTTTTATCCAAAATTGGTTTTTCCTCACCCACTTTTTCAAAACTTCTGTTTTATTGAGTCAAAATAAGTAGGAAACTATGATCTATCCTAGGAAGCTTACCATATCATACCAAAGCTCTTGTGATCATTAAGGCGAATCCGACACCGAACAGTGCCTAACGGAACCTCTAAGGGTGGATCGACCTACTGATTTGGCAAGATTTCTAAGGTACCCACACAATCTAAAGCTAGCTCCACAACTTAATGAACCTTTAATTTTTCTTGTCAAGGGGCTTGAGATTCATGTGAGTCGACTCCTCACTGAGTTTAGTTGAGATATGTCTAGAAAAGAAACAGTCCATCCTCTCTCTTATCTGCAAAAGAAAGATCAAAAGCTCTAAGAGCACAAGGAAAACAAGTAAGCATGAGGAATGCATACTTCTGCACCTTCATGTCTTATGGAATACCTTATACACAAGGAGGAAGCTCAATGCCAATCCATGTATCCCACAAAGAGAAATCTTAAGGGAAGGAGGATCGATAGAAAAAATAAAATGATACCCTAGAAAAGTAGGGAAAAATCGATTCTTCAAAGATAAGAGAGAAGGAGAGAGGTTTGGTACTGAATGAGCAAGAAAGACTATCTTGGCAAAGACTTGGATGGGTAAGAATCAATGCTCTGTGATCAATACTCCCTTGATAAAGACCGCACGCTTTAAATACTGCAAGGAGTTAGCAATAGAGAGTTTGGAATACTATATGAGATTTGTTGGGTCCGTATGGTTCGCTAAGCTTAAGGTCAGTATGTGATAGCCAGTTTCAAAGTTGGTTTGTCCCAAAGAGAGCAGAGCAATGGGAGATACAAGTTCCAAAAGATAAGTGAGTTTTCGTGTTTTCAAAACCTCTTCACTAGTTTAGATTTGATTTGCTTGGGGACAAGCAAAGATCTAAGTCTGGGGAGTTGATATACCTCTATTTTACATGCTTTTTATGCTATTTTACTATGGTTTTCTAATGGTTTTCTAGTGGATTCTTGTCTTAAAAGGTAGTTTTTATGGATTTATACTGCAAAGAGTCATTTTAGGTCAAAAGGTGCATTATGGAGCAAAACAGAGGATTTGGACTTCAAACCAGTCCAATGCCACAACATCTACTTTGGGAAGAGCTTAAAAAATCTACTCAATGGATTTCATCAAGACCACTTCCCGCGTGCCCTGAGTGAGTTAACTTTCCAACGCAATTGGATTCACATATTTGGATGAGTAGAAAAGGAGTTATTGGTCCAGACGGCTCAAACCGAGAATCGGCGTCCAGACCGTGCGGAACGGCCGACCGAGGAACATCTGTACCACGATCGGCCAACGTCCGGACACTCCGTCCATCTCGCCTGAACGCACGGCCGAGCTCACGTACCGACCCGGGAAGCATCATCCCGCGGTCGACCCGTCCGAGTCTCGCCACCATAAGCCGCACACGACCGCACCGCGCGAACAGGAGGCATGCCTCACGACCGTGCAGCACTCACCGTGCCACACGCACGAGCGTACCGTCCGATCAGGAAGTCGTCCCGCGTCCGGCCGAACCTTCGACCAAATCATCCGTCCGGCCGAACCCGACGAACGAACGACGAATCTCTCGGCCACGATCGACCCGACCGTGCCGATAGCCGATCATCACCCGATAGCCGGCCGATCCCGACCGACCTCCGGTCCGGTCGACCCGAAGCCGTTTTTGAAGCCCGTTTCACACGTTTCAAGCCCAATTACACGGCCGACTTATAGACCTAGGTCTAGCCGCTCTCTATACTTAGAGCATTATAAATACATCTTTTTAGCCTTGTAACTCAAGAAGGAGAGAGACCACGATTTACTTTACATCTTTAATAAAGTTTTACTTGCTTTTACTTTGTTCTTGCTTGTTCTCTTTCAAGAGAGGATTCGAATCTCTGTTCTTATGAATATGAATTCGTTTTCCTTCTCTATGTCTGAGTAGTTTACTTGTTAAGTGATAGGAAGTCAAAGGATAGCATTCATGATTGCTTGATGATCGATCACATGAATTAGGGTTTTACTTATAATCTTCATCTTTGCTTATACTTAATGCTTGTTGTTAATCTGGCCAATTAGCATATGATCTAGGTTGACTTGAGCCTCGAAAGTGTTGATCATTCGCCTGAACTAGTATTTGGTGGGCAACCTCTTTTAGACTGCGAAAGTTGATTTACTTGTAGGTTGTGAACAATTGAACTTATCGAACTAATGCTTGATTTAATCACCTAGGGACATACCAAAAGTTTAGCGACTAGGGAGATTAACAAAGGGGTCGGAGCCACGAAAGTGGAAAGATCATACCATAGTGTTTCGAGTTCTAGATGGCACCTAATAATAACCCTAATCGATTGATCCTTGCTTCTTGAATTGCTTATCTTAAGACTATCCTATTGCTTAGCCCTCATCTCCTATTGATTTCAACCTTCTTTACTTGTTTACTTTACTTGCATGCCTTTACTTTCATTGCACTCAACCAATCTTATACTGTTTGCCCTAGCTCGATCTCAATCTCATAGTTTGTAGTGTGCAATCTGGTCCTTGTGTTCGATACCCGTTTACTACTTCTGACCTGTGCACTTGCAGAATCAGGGATAGGAAAAGGGAAGACCTGATCCCGCGATCAAACACCAGTAGCGGCCAAACTGCTGGTGCATCGAGAGATAAGATCGCTTCGAATGTTGGTAGCGGCCAAATTGCCGACACTTCTAATGTTCCGATCAGGTGCCGCCTCCACCGGAGTGCAACGTAATACTCCACCTCGCGTGGAACCAGTGGTGATTAACCTCGCCACACTGGTAGCAACCCCGAGCCCGATCCTACCGAATCTGAGTTCACATACTATCGAGAGTCCTCTCTCGAGTTTGGATCAGATCGGAAAATCTCCCAACAACTGTGACCCCATAGAGTCGGACTATTCCTGTTCGACCTGCATCTGCAACGCCGGCTCCCCCGCGAGCCAGCCCAAATGATCTGGCACAGATCAGACAACTCCTTACCAACCTAATAAACGGTCAGTGCGACCATGAAACCATGCTGGAGAGATACGAGAGATGCCTCGCAGAATCCCAAAACATCTCTAGCCCACCTCCGCAGACTCGGCTCGATTTCGACGATCTACGCATCTGGCGTACCTCAGACGCAATTCGTTACGCCTTCGCGGCCACAATTCTGCCAGGCTTTCGGTCCACCTCCTAAGTCGCCATCAACCGGCTTAAACAATCCGAGTTCGCATCCAAGCGAGACGAGAGCTCAACCAACCGTTCCGCTCTCAACTCCACCTCCAGGGCCACCTGGTACCGATTATATCGATTCGGACTCTTCGCAAAGCATGCAAGAGTCAACGATTCATACCGTCCCATCTGCTCTAGCAAATGAAGAGTTTGCCGCGAGACCCAACTTGAGAACTCCTATCATCGAGTATATTCAGCTCGGAGCTGTCCCCAACGAAAAGTGGGCATCTCGCACGCTAAAAGCCGAAAACTCGCACCTAACGTGTGTACAAGCAAAGCCTAATCGAACCATACCTAACGTGTGTTCACGGCGAAGAAGCCTACACCGTAATGCACAAGACTCACCAAGAACCTTTCGGAAGCCATTACGCAGGCCGAGCTCTTGTCATACAAATCAAAAAGCTAGGCTACTTCTGGCCAACAATTATAGCGAATTGTGAGCAGTATTCTAGGAGATGTGTAAATGGCAAAGGCACACCCCAAGTATTCACGTCCCAGCTGAAACACTCTCGTCGATCTCCTCACCTTATCCTTTTATGAGGTGGTCTATGGACATAATAGGACCTACGGTGTCATCCGGATCAAAGCAATTCCAATACCTACTAGTCCGTACGACTACTTCACTAAATGGATCAAGGCCAAATCATACCAACAAACAACCGAACTCGAGGTCCGAAAATTCATCTGGAAAGATATCATCTGTCGACACGGGCTCCCATTCAAGATCGTGACAGATAACGGATCTCAGTTTATAGATCAGTCAAAACATTCCAAGTGTCGAAATCAACCTAAACAGCATGATTCGACCTCAAACTAAAATACATTTTGACATTGGTCTTAGGACCGGCCAAAATACTTAGTCACAAAGCCCCAAACATCTGAAGCGGGCTAAAATGACAAGTCGCAAAACCATTTGGGCAAAATAAGCGTATGGCAAAACGCCTAAGGCAAATACATTAAAAGCCCCCGCTGGCAAACAAGTTAATGGATAAAAACGCTCTCGGGCACCGAATTCAGAACATAAAGCGTAAAAATCCCGCCGAGCAACCAAGTCTCAAAATAAATTAAAAATGAGAAGGGATAGAAAGAGCTCGATCAAGAGCTCAACCCTCGACGGTCATCTCTTCGTCTTTCTTCTCCATCTCCTCGTTATTCTCCTTCTCTTCGGCATTCGATCCGAGCGGGATGTTCGTCGAAGGGTCAATCTCCATGCGCGACATGATTAAGGAATCAGCAAAATGAAATGAAATAGACATTATCCTAGCGACCATCTTCAGCCACCTCTTCCTCGAAATCCCTCATCCTAGCGACCATCACTTTCCGACCTGCACGGTTAGCTCTACGAGCTACCTGGTTCTCCCGGCTAAGACGAAGCGATTGTGTCAGCGCACTCGAACTCTCCTGCTACAAAGCTGCCATCTGGTCCTTACTTTAGTTCAGCTGGAGCCAGAGATCGGTCTTCTTGGTCTCGAGCTCTTTCACATGTGAGGTGTGGTTTTTCAAGAGCTCACCCTGACGAGCTACCCTCTCATTTGCTGTAGACAGCTCGGTGTTTAGCTTGGTGATGAGCTCCTTCACCCGGTCGAGCTCCTTCTATTGCGGCACATCTCTGATCCTCGCCTCCAAGCGGGAGACTAGCATGTTACGAGCTTTCACAGCCTAACAAAACAATCACCCAAATCAGAACAATAATATTTGCCTTAAAGTCTGGTTAAGGAAAAAATCGTACATTTCCATTCACAGCAGCCGCCGCGATGTAGAGCTCTCTCTCGGACATTTGGTTCAAGGAAGGAAGCCTGCATCCAACGGGCTTGTAGTGGAGCTCGACACGAGCCACCCCCTCGTCGTCATCCTAGATCGGGAAGGCGTTGGGGTGTTCGTACCTCCAGTAAAACGGCGGTTACCCCCCTAAGCCTCCACTCCCGTTCGAGGCAGTCACCGATCTCACGGGGACAACAATCTCCATCGTTGCTTCGAGCTCGCTTCGATGCTTTCTTTGATTGACCCTGACCCGTACTCCGACTCTGATCAGAGCTCACCTGAACCGTGCTCGGAATAGCCACGACCTCTGCCCCGAAGGTCATGTGACCTGGTCAACCACATGGTCGCCAGGTGCAGAAGTCCCCGTAGCAGGCTTCGAAGCCAAAACTTCCTCAAAAGGCGCCGCGGATTCACCTGAGTGGACTTAGCCCTCGGAGGGTTGAGCGGCGAGGTATCTTTGGTTTACGTGAAAGAGAAGGAACACTGGATGCAGAGCTAAAACGTTGAGCTCACAAAGCTAGATGATCAGCTGGGAAATTGTACAAACAGCTCGTTAGAAATAACTTGTATGACGAAATTTTCAGTTAGTTCAAAAAGAATCATTTACCAGGCGGAGGAGTAGGAGGAGAGCTGAGCACTCGACGGATCCGTTCCGGGGTGAACATGTTCCAGTTGACTCTTTCCCTTCCAGGACTGGAACCGCACACCCGTGGATGAGCAAGCGCCTCCAGCAGAAATCGCGTTACCGGAAAAATCATCCCGGCGTTCTGGAAATACACCGTGTAGGCACAACAAAATCTCGGACGGACATGCTCCGGATCCTCGCCCTCGGCCGGGAGAACGAGCTCGATCTCATTCGGGATCTTGTAATCTTGCCTGAAAATATATAGGGCCTCTTCGTCACGTGTCATCTCGGCGTGAGGCGTAAATTTCCCGTCACCGCCGAGATCGATGACTGCCCCATCTCTTACGTGATTTTCTTTGGAGACATCGGAATCGGGAAGAGTTGGACGGATAAATAGGTTGCGAAGGTTTTGGAGAAATTCGAAAGCAAAACAACCTAAAACGCTTGAAAAAGTTTGCAAAGGTTTGATAATTTTCGAGAAACTGGAAGTTATCTAATCTAAAGCTTAAAAGCAAATATATAAGGAAAAGAGAAAAGGAGAAGTTACCTTTTCGAAAACATGGGCACGATTAAAGAGAGGAGTGACGAGTTGGGTTTCTATTCAGCAATAAGTGTTGAAGAGATCGCGGAAATTTTAATTTTCGCGTGAATCTCAACCGTCCAGCTCATAGATCTTAACTGTTTGCATGCGACGGGCTAGTGATGCAACGCGCTGTGAGTTACCAGGCAGATCTCAGCCGCACGGAATCTTCGCTCTCCTCGATCTGAACCGTCCGATTTGAAAACGTAATCATTTCGAATCTCATCAATGCAAGTCCTTTGTTATCAAGGAGCTTGGTTCCCGAGATTACAGTAAGTTGAAAAGATTTGCTTGTAACCTCGCCCGTTCATCTAGATTCAACGGTCAGATCTCTTCTTCGCAACGAAGTAATTGGAAAATTGATTATTTGAACTAGATAACTTTGGTTTTCTCAAAAACTATCTAGTCTTTTGCAAACAATTTAAGCGTTTTTAGGTTGCTCGGTTTCGCATTTCTTCTCTTTGAAACCTTTTTCTTCCGTCAAACTCTTTTCTTGATAATAAGTTTTCAAAGAAATTCACGCAAGAGAAAGGGAAGTCTATCGATCTCTGCGGCGATGGGAAGTACAAGCCTCACACCAAGGTGGCGTTTGATGCCAAAACTATCGACGAGTTTCGGCGGTATTAAGAACTTTCAGAGGAGATTGAACTCGCTCTCTAAGCCGAGGGTAAGGATCCAGAGCATGTGCGTCCGGGATTCTCCTGAGTCTACAAGGCGTACTTCGAAAACTGCTCTGCAGGATGATACTCACAATCCCGCGTTTTCTGCTGAGGGCGTTCACCCATTTGAAGATGGCGTTCCCTTAGTTGTACCCGAGCTTTGTTTGACACACCATCAGGTGTGCGGTTCGAGCTTGGGAGGAGGGCCTGGCATTCGGCGTTTGGGACCTAAGGAAAATGTTCTTGAAGGCTTCCCGAATTGTTCGACTCTTTGCTGAGGCCGAATCCGCGTATATTCACAAACACCCCGCAAAGAGATAGTGGGTAGAGTGATGAGATCTTCTTCTTCCGGATCAATGAGGCCTCGGTGGGCGATATTGAATTTGATCGACTCCTGATTGAATGGGGGACTAGCGTTGATTATCTTAGGCTTAATTCCGTTTAGAAAAGATGATTATCTCGTTTTGCTTGTGAAACATCTTGTTTGCGAATACGTTATGTTTTTTCTTTGCAATTGTTGATCGAGTTTCGAACACCCCGGCAATTGATTACCTCGTAGATCGGCTCAGAAGAGAAAGGGTGAACTGTAATATGGTTATCCCAAAATGGATCCGCCGAGTACTCAGATCTCCTCCTACTCTTTCTCCTGGTAAGCGGCTTTTTTTGAATCTGATGAATATTTCACGTACAAGCTCTGTTGTAATTTGTAACGAGCTGTTTGCTTAATTTTCAGCCGATCAAACGTTTAGATTAGCTCCAGATTAAAGCTCTGCGTCAAGTGTTACTTCTCTCTCTCGAAAGGGAAAACCGATGACTCACCGTCAAACTCTCCAAAACCGATCCGTGAAGGGTGCCACTCTATGTGGGGGCAGAGTCTGCTTCAGGGAGTTCTCGGCAGCGGTTGACGAGCTTTTGGCCGCAAGGCCTGCTGTGGGACCGTCTGCGATTTTTGACCAGGTGGATTACCAGGTCTACTGGTGATGAGATTGTGTTCGTATGGGTATCGAACACAAGGACTCGCTATTGAGTACACTTTCAAGCTATGGATTTTGGATCAAGGTAAAACAAAAATATAATTGAGAGGTTGTAATTGTAACTAAAACTAGCAAGTAAACAAGTTGTGAAATCAGTAGGAAGAAAGCGCTAAGTCAACAGAGGCTAATCGCAGAGAAGCAAGCAATGATCAATGATTCAATGATAGATTATATGATATAGGGATATTGGGATATTAAAACCGTCTAGAACACAGCTTACGAATGTAAAACCTTTCCACTGTCGTGGCTCCGCCTCCTTTGTTAATCTACCTAGTCGCTAAACTTTTGGTATGTCCCTAGATGATTAAATCAAGCATTATATCGAGCGGGTTCCGAATCAGTTCACTAGGTTCGGACGTTGTTGCTCAGTTAAAGCCGTTTGATCATAACTCCGTTTCTACTCATCCAAATGATGCGAATTCACTTGCGTTGGAGAGTTAACTCAATTTGGGCACGCGGCGAAGTGGTCTTGATGAAATTCATTGAGTAGATTATTTTTTAGGTCTTCTCAAAGTTGATACTTCTGTATGGAGCGAGCTGAAGTGCAAATCCTGTGGTTTTTCTCCAAAATGCATCATTTCACTTGTGTTTAGACTCTTAGTACTATAAATCCAATAAACTATCTTTTTAGAGAGAAAACCTGCTAAAAACCATTATAAAACCATACTAAAATAGTATAAAAAGAATGTAAAATAGATGTATATGAAGCGCAAGCCAGGGTCAGTCGAGGAAGGCATCCAAGCGTGATTGGAGTAAAGAAGGAGATGGTCGCCCTCGTGATAACATCCCGGACTCCTTGAATGGGATAGGAGTTCGGCGGGTAATCCGCCTTTTCACTGGCGGTACGAGTATTCTAAGGGTTTTCAATCTTGGAGGAGATTGAAGGGATGGCCTGCATGGACCTCCATTATAAACCCGCTGGATGCAAGCTTTCTCCCCTGAACGATGTCTGAGAAAAACCTTTATGTTGCGGCGGCTGCTGCAAACGGAAAGGTATAGTTTGAACGGAAAGTGTTATTGCCGTTCTTCTGGGCTGTGGAAGCGCGTAACATGCTGATCACCCACCTGAAGACGAGGAGTGGAGCTGTACCCCAGCAGAAGGAGCTCGACCGGGTGAACTTCGAGCTCTCTGTGGTATCTGAGCCGATAACTCGCCAGGGTAAGCTCCTCAAGAAACACACCTCGCAAGAGAGTCGTGTAAACGAGCTCGAGACCAGCTGGCGGCTTTCCAGTAGGAGAGTTTGAATGCGTTGGCACAGTCCATGTGCCTTAGCCGGGAGAACCAGGTGCTCGTAGACAAGAAGAACAACGTAGTTTGTTGAGCTAATCGCGCATGTTGGAGGGAGATGGCTGTAAAGCACCGAGAGACCCTGGAGGGAGCCAAGGTGAAGTTCGAGAAGAAGAAGGAAGAGAACGAGAACGAGGGAGACCTCCTTGAACTCCAATCTAACATCGAGCTTCTCGAATTGTTGATCTCCGGATCGGTGTTCGGGTTAAACCTATAACCCGAGATTAACCAAACTTTTTCTGGTTTCGGGTAATTGTCGGGTTTTCGGGTTTTTTATACCCAATTCCGCCTGAGACACAAACTCCAAAACGTGGCCAATACCAAGAACAATGAAACTCTAAAGCTTAATTTCATAGATCTCTTCTTATCTACAATTTCCTCTGTTTCTCTACAATCCTCTCCTCTCTTGAATCCAAAACAATCGTTATTTTCTATCCTCCTCCGATTCCTTCTCCTTCGTCGCTTGCTTCCTCTCACACTTCCACTCTGATCACTATTCTGCCTCTCCTCTTTGTCCATAGGAATCATCTTCTGCTCTCACAAACCGCTTGTCTCGTGAAAGAAATCCTTCAAACACCGTCGCAGTTTGATGAAGAAAAAATTGTTGCAATTTACAATTGTTGGTAAAGAGAAATATTATGATAGAGATTTCAAAGTGATGCAAAAGGAAGATCTTTGTGGATCGAGAAAATGTGAAAGAGTTGAAAAGGAGGCGTTGTTTTTTTAGTTTTTGGTTATGGAAGTGTTAGTGATCGGTTTTCGGTTATTAATTCGTTTATCGGGTGTAAACTAAACCGAACCGATGCCGAACTCAAAAATAATTCGGTTATCGGGTTTAAATTAAACTGAACCGAACCGAAACCAAACCGATCCAAAATCGAATTCGGTTTGAATCCGTTCGGATAGCTCGACTTCGATTTGGATTTCATGTTGTCTATAGGTCTTCGGTTCTACGATCGGACAAACACTATGTTGGATGCTTCGACACGATTGTCTTTGATGGGTTTTTGCAAAGTAAGGAATCAAAAAGTGAAGAGAAGGACTCTTGGCTTCACTTCTTTTGAAAGGGGATTATCGAGCTGATCTCGATCTTCCGATCTGTGTTGCGACGAGATATGAAAAATAGCTGAAATTCCATATTCAGGTCGCGTAGGATCATGCATTTTAGATGTAAAATTTTACGCTTAAGAGTCTAAGTAATTCACAATTCGCTTAGAGACTTGCTGAGTGATGATTCCCGGATCAGGTCAACCCTTTCCTATCCCTGATTTTGCAAGTGCAAAAGTCAGAAGTAGGAATGGGTATCGAAAACGAGGACCTGATTGAACACTACGAGGTATGAGTTTGAGATCGAGCTAGGGCAAATTATAGAGGTTGATTGATTCTAACTAAAGTAAACAGTAAAAGCATGCAAGTGAATGAAATAAGGTTGAAAGCAATAGGAGAAAAGCAACTAAGCAATCGGATAATCTATAGATAAGTAATTCAAGATGCAAGTTCGATTGATTAGGGTTATTGAGAATTGGTACCATCTAGAACTCAAGACACTTAGGTATGATCTTTCCACTCTTGTGGCTCTAATCCCTTTGTTAATCTATCTAATCACTAAACTTTTGGTATGTCCTTAGATGATTAACCTAAGCAGTAATTCGAATAAGTCTTAATTGTTCACCACCTACAAGTAGATCAACTGTCGCAGTCTAAAAGAGAATGCCCACCAAATACTAGTTCAGGCGAATGATTCAACACTTTCATGGTTCAAGTCTACCTAGGATCATATGCTAATTTGCCAGATTAATTACAAGCTTTGCACACAAGTAAAGGTGAAGAGTTTATGTAAAACCCTAATTCATCATAAATGGATATCAAGCAAACATGAATACTATCCTTTGATTTCCTATCATTTAACAAACAAACTACTCAGACATAGAGAAGGAAATCAAATTCATATTCATAAGAACAGAGATCCGAAATCCTCTCTAGTAAGAGAACAATCAAAACAAAAGTAAAAGCAAAGAACAAGCAAAAACTTTATTAAAGATGTAATGTAAATCGTGGTCTCTCTCCCTCTTGAGTTATGATGTACTCATATTTTACATGCCTTTAGCCCATCTTTTATACATCTTTTGCATACTTTTCATCATCCAAAACATCAGTTCTTGGTGTTTTGCTCTTCTTATGCATACATTGTAGTTTTAGGATTGCATATGCATACATGTGCATGTTTGAACCTTAAACAGGTCGTTTTGGAGCATTCTAGACTTGAGGAGCAAGGAAGGACTTTGCATGGGACACAACTCGACCGCGCAGCTCCAGATGAAGAAATGTGCCACCTTTATTCCCAACTCGACTCAGCCGCTCGACCGATTGGTCGAGTTAGGCCAAACTTTTCCAACATTGCACTAGCTCGACCAGGCAGATGACGACTTGATCGAGCTGCTTTCCATGGGACAAGAATCCGAGATTTATTGCTTCCCTTTGACTCATTTAACCTTAAACCCTAGTTTGTAACTCTATAAAAGGCAAAGGAGCACGAATTAATGACAACTTTTGCTTAATCTTGTATTTTTTTTTCTTCTTTTAGCTTTTAGCCTCATCTTTTTGTTCTTGAGCTTATGCTCATTGAATCTTAGATCTAGACCTTGTACTTGCTTATTTGCACTTGCTTATTTCAATAAAAGTTGTTTATCTTGATTCCCTCTTTCATTTAATGTCTATTTCATTTCATTTTGTTGATTCCTTAATCATGTTTACTGAGTAGTCCATCATTATGATTAGAGATGGGTTAGATTAGGAGTTGTTTATACTTAATCCTTGTTGCTTAGTGTTCTTAATTTAGAAATATTTCTCTTTTGGGTTATGCTTTAAGCAACACAACCACTATCCATGGTGTGTTCAATTTTGGGTGATTATCATCATGGAATTGAGTTGATAATAACTTGAATAAGCCCACTAAGAGCTTTAGCATGCATGTCTCACAAGTGACAGTTCATGGGTGCTAAAGGGTGAGTTTGAACAAAGTTTCTAAAGCGGATCGATCTCACTGGTTGACTCCCTGCTTCTGAGATTGATCCTTGATTGAGGATTTTCACCTTGGGAAAGGGTTAATCAGCCTTAAGAAATTCAATACAAAGAGATTAGCTTGAGTAGAAGTGGTTTAACAGCAGTATCGATTAAGTATAACCTTCTCCTAGTTGCAAAACCCCGTCTTTAGTCCTAATCTTTATCTTTAAAGTCTAAAAACCGCACATTTATTACTTTGCATTCGCATTGCTCTGTTTTAAGCCTAACTCGACCCTCAACTCGATCGAGCTGATTCCATACTCTGTTTCTGTACCAACTCGATCGAGCTCCTGGTCAAGTTCTTTGCATTTGTTCGTCTCTGTTTAGTTTCTTGTGTGTACCGCTTTGTTTGCATTCGTCTTTACTGTTTACTTGCAGTTCCATTTCATTTAGGTTAATTAGTTGTTACATTCATTATCCATTTACCATTTGGCTCGACTTCCAAGCATCCACATAGTTTTAAAAAGCATCATTCATACCCATTATGGATTGACACCTTAAGTACTACATTGACATGATGATAATTTGAGGAACTGACTGTCTGAAATTAAAACATGTCATATCATACCATTCCACCTTCACTTGCATCCATCACATTCATTTCACAGCCCATTATACTACATTGACAGTAAAATCCTTTCATCAATTTGGCGTTGTTGCCATTTGGGTTTGATTTTGTTGCATTTGAAATTCTGGTTGCTTGAACGATCAAGTACTATTCCACCTCGCTTGAGCTTGTTCTATTTGATGGATTTTGACTGTTTTGCAGGTGTATGCGAACTTGATCGAGCTCTTCTACAGAAGATTTGGTTGGGTATTGGGACGACATCAGTAAAAGACAAAGAAAGAAACGCCAGGGGCAACAGGCCGAGCAAGAGGTGCATGTTACTGATACCATGGATGATCCATTGGGTAATGGAAAGCCTTTGGGCACTGGACTCGGTGGAGGCAGACCAGCTCGACTGATTGGAGTTGGAGATGCGCTTAATACACACAAAAAGAGGTAAGGGATTGTACCTCCACCTGTTCAGAACCACAACTTCGAAATCTAGCTGGGAATGATCAATCTACTGCAGAACAAGATGTTTTGACGAGCTATTTATTGAGCTCATCGGTAGGACAAGAGTCTGGAAGACATGAGCGCGCGGTGGCGCCTCATCCTGTTTCGACGAGCTGTTTGGCGAGCTCATCGGTGGGATGAGAGTCTGGAAGACATGAGCGCGCGGTGGTGCCTCATCCCGTTTGGGCAAGCTGTTAGGTTCGTAGATTGGTGAAGAGTCGAGCTGAGTTCCCGGAGGAGGACTTATAATCGTCCGTAGCTCAGCAAGACTTCGTTCATGTTTTTCCAACCTGATTTTTTGGTCATTTTGGTCGGTGAGCATTCGCTTGATTCGGGCTTGGTCGTCCGGATTCGGTCGAGCCAAGGCAAACGATGTTGACACAGTTTGCCGGAGTGATTTCCGACTGATCGGTGTCGAGGTAATCGGGAAATCTTTAGATTTGACCCGAACTCGCAAATGAGGTCTCTCAATTGCGTGCGAGATCTGATTCGGTAGAATCGAGTTCTCGGCTATCACAGGAGTGACGAGGTTGATCACCGATGGTTTCACGCGGGCTGGAACATTCGAGTTCGCTGCCGCGGAGGTGATAACCGGATCGATCAGGACGCTCGATCTACTAGCAGTTTGGCTGCTGCCAGTTGGCGAGGTGATCGGGTTTTTCGATGTGTCTGCAGTTTTGGCACTGCTGACATCCGAAGTGATTTGATCCGATGGGATCTGAGATTGGGAGCGAGCTCCCTGAGAATTTGATAGGACTGAGTCCATTTCGTTCTCAACTGGTCTAGGTTCGACCCTTGTGTAAGAGAAAGCTATTTTCTCCCCTCCTTCTAGCGCCAAAATGTGGGTTCGGAAAACCACACTCAAAATTTATGTGTATTTTGTAGGGAGAAATTGCTGTGGAATCAGAGGTTAGATTCTGATGTAAGTCGAATGATTCGTAGACAAATATTTGACGAAATCGGACTTAGGCTAATCGAATAAAGTGGTTACAAAACCGGCCTAAAAGACCATGTAAAACACTAGGATTCGACTAAGCAAAAGAGATGGAAATGAGGTGGTGGCTGCGCTCGTTAACGAGCTGCCTACGTACCCTGTTTTAGGGATCAAGCCAGAACGTAGTTCGATTGTAAGTTGTTCTCTATTTCGAGTCGTTTTCTGAAGAGAAATGACCACGAAAAGAGCTAAAGGGGTGTGAAGATGACGATAAATCTCAGGTTATCGGAGTGATCCGAAGGTAAGAGATTACGTCGAACTTCTGCCGGAAGTGATTTCCGGCTAGAAAGATCAGGGCTTTCTGGGATTATCTCAAAGAAGGATAAGATCGAAGAGAAAAGATATGAGAATATCTCAAGACAAAAGAAGAACTTCATCTGTTTCTCTGTGAAAAGATGATGAGAAGAACTTTGTTGTCTCAAATGTAGAAGATATTTATCGGAAAGGAACTCCTTGTGATCAAGAATCGTCCTCCTTTTATAGCTCCGAAGTAGATCGCAACCTCCTCCGCGTATCTCGTCCACGTGCAACTACCGATCCCGCTATTTCCGGATCTGAACAGTCGAAGCGAGATTCTCGTTTGACTCGTTCAAACTCAGCTTGCGGACTTGACTCCGTCGAGCTAGAGCTCGACTTCATCTTCACAAGTAGCTCGGACAGTAAACAGCTGGATTTGGACAAGGATACTTGGTGGGCTCGAGGTCATTTTACTGGGCCTGAGTGGACTTATCTTGATCTTAGGACTTAGGTGATGGGCCTTATGGGCCGGATTTCTGGAGGAAAATCTAGGTTCAACAGTAAGATCTACACTGTATTTAGTTTTTCTATTCAAATGGTTTCTTTACCACACATCTCTCTCAAATAGATTCATATATTAGTTGAAAAGAGGTGGGTCATGAGAGTTGGGAATTCTATTGAATAATCATTTGGTTTTAGACTTTTCGTGTTGTCCTAGTTCTTAGCAAGTCCAAAAAATTAATGGTAGGCGTTAAGTAATGGTTAGTTTACGAGTGTTTTCAACTTGTCAACGAATTTCGATTTGGCTCAGGTTTTTCGTTACCCGTTTTTTTTCCGCTCTTAGAATCTTATATATAATTAGGGAGTTGCTCTCTCCATATAGAGTGTCCACATCATCACAAAACACATTAAATTGTATTTAAAATATTTATTAAATATATGACTATTCATATTTCTTTACATTTATTCATATTTAATAAAAATATACAAATAAATTAATTAATTAATAGAAAGTATGTGATAATTTGATGTTAAAAGTTATCAAAAAGTTGGAATATAAAATAGAGATGGAGTAAAGAAATATTTAACTTCAAATAGTATATATTTACCTTTTTATTCAAAGATTTATCCTATTTAAAAATGTTATAATGTGTTTACAAGTTAAAAAGTTGAATATAAATTAATTAAGATAATAGAAAGCTAATGAAAAATTAGAGTTAGAGTTTGTTTTTCTAAACAAATAGAAATGGAGTTTTATATGTAAATTTAATTGTAGTGAAAAACAAGAATATGTTTACAAATTTTAACCTTCAGTCAAATGCATATACATATTTATAAATTTTAACCTTCAATCAAATACATATACATGTTTACAGTCTAATAGAAGTAAAAAAAAGAAGTAAACAAACATAATATTTATAACATGATAAAATTTTAGAAATAGAAAACTCGAGATAAAGCGGGGTTTAATATCCTAATAAATTAAAATAAAAAATCAAATTATTCATATTTTTTAGTGTTAGTGGTTGAGTTAACTCAAAACATAACAAAAACATGAAAGTTTACACAAAACCATCATAATTCAAATCAACGAGTATAAATAAAATTAAACAGAAAAACTATCGCAAACAACCCCGCGCTTGCGCGGGGCTTCAAACCTAGTTATTAGAATTGGCCTTGTGGGCGACAGTGAAAACTGATAGTGTAAAGAAAGGGCCAAAACAATAGATTCTCAAACCAACCAAATTTGTAAAGCTTTTACGTTTCGGTCAATCGGATTCAAGATAAGATTACTCGCACAATCATGCTATTCACAAACATCCATGGAATCAAACAAGACTAAAAATAAAAAATCCCCCAATAAAGTTTCAAACTTTCACCTTTGCTCCACTTCTTGACGGTTTCCTTTTGTATAACATGAAACCCACTCGCAAACCCCAGTTCTATAAGTAATTTGTGACGATCAATATCTCTATTAAAAAAAAACAGCATATGCAGACTGTTTCTGCAATTGCCTGGTATCAAGAAGCAACCACAGCACCATTAGTACCACCTGAAACTATAAGAAGCAAAACATCATTCGTGTTGTTGTCATTGTTTCATATCAGTTTCTGCTTTAGGCTTATCTAACAGATTTAGTCAATGAAGAAGTTTTACCTTCGGTTCCTTCCTCTTTCTCTTCGTCAATTGTTTTCCAAACAATGTCCTTAAGACCCGTGGTGAGGTTCTTGTAAAACTAAAAGGCAAAAAGATTATCAAGTTGTTCAGAACTAATCCCCCAAAAATTAAGAGCATAATATGCAAACATCAGTTAGTTCTCATGTTTTGCATGCATACCTTGTGGAATTCCAAAGTGTCACCTCCTGATTTTCGCATTTCAACCATGTAAAGCGATGGGGCAACTTGAAAAACCTGAAAGTAGATGTCAGTTGACATATTGTTCATCCAACACTGCTAACATTGTACAAAAAGGGTGATCACTAAGAAAACTAACCTCAGTTGTGACTGCTAACTGACCCTTGCGGCCTGATTTCTCTCCTAGAAGCTTCATCTGGATGAATCAAGAAATGGTATTAGACTGTAATCAGATGCCCAAATCAATAAATACAACTTTGTAGCAGTATTCCAACCTTGTAGTTATTTTTCTTGACATCAAAGCCCATAGGTGCTGCTGCTGCCTCAATTTTTGTGACTATCTCATTAGCCGGGCATTTAGAAGTAAATTGAGTTTTTCGTTTAATAAGCCCCTGAAATTAAAGATGTTTATCACTAACAATCACTAGTTCCACTAATCAAAATACCGAATTCTGGTCACTACATTTTTGAAAAAAAAAAAAAAAAAAAATACTTCTAATTAAGTATGAGTCGGACAAACCACCACCCCAAAGAAAAGCTATACCATTTGTTTTTCAAAAAGTGATCCGAGATTGAGACCCTGGGATGTTGAGATGAGCTCAAAAGCATTCATAGTTATTGGTGTTTTAAGTCCTTCTTCTCGCCTCTCCACAACAAGGTTTTTAGGCTCCTGTTAAAGCAAGAACAAGCTAAGAAATCACCCAAGACAAAGTTCATACAAAATTTATAAAGCCAATAAAAAACATAAGCCTTTACCCCTGATTCATCAAAAATCGCATCAACATCATCAAGGCTGACGTTAGCATTCTCAAATTTAGGTGCTTTATACCCTTTTTTAAACCATTCATTTTCTATGACTTCAGCAAATGTAATCCTCTGTCCATTACAAAAAAAAAAAATCTGTGAGAAGACTTTAGATTTACTTAATCCAGTAGAAGCTTTTGCCTCTTCTAACGGCATGGTATAAAAGGGTAAGAAAAATATACCGTTGCTGGATTGGGATCCAAAATCCTTTTGATTAACTTCTTTGCACTTGCTGAGAACCAGGGAGGGCAGGTAAATTCGGCTTTGAATATCTGTAATCATGAAGACATAAGACTCAGGCGGCAGGTTAAAGTACATATATGTTGAGTCCTAAAACCAACTGACAGAGACATCCATACACCCAAATGATGCATGCTAGAAGTGCAAAACTTGAAACCTTTTTCCCATTGCATGCAAAATGTATATACAGCAGAGAAATAAAAAAAGCAAATGAAGAAAAATATAGCGTCACACCTTTTTATATAATGACGTTAGATTAGAATCTTCAAAAGGTAAATAACCAGCCATTAAGACGAAGAGAATCACACCACAAGACCACAAATCAGCCTTTGCTCCATCGTAACCTTTGTTGTTAATTACCTAGAGACACAAGAATGGATTGGCTATTGAGACAAGAAAAGAATAGACTTCAAGCTTCAAGCCAACTGAGGGTCAGATTGCAGAAGAAATAAACAATACCTCCGGAGCAACATAATTGGGTGTTCCACATGTTGTGTGAAGTAACCCATCCTCCTAAAGAAGGAAGGTCAAAAAGTTAGCTTTCATGACTCATGGAAACTATCTCCTTAGAGGCCATAGTAGCTGTAGTATCCATGCTATCACATTTACACCAAAATAACAGAACAAAGAAATCAATGTATCGATGCTCACTCGGACTTGTTGTGGTAGAGCGCTCAATCCAAAATCAGACACTCTCAAAGCCCCATTTGCATCCAAAAGCAAATTTTCTGGCTGCAACCAGAAGATGCAATCTGATTTAACACATCAAACCCATAACTCTGACACACCGATGCATTCACAAGAACAACTATGCAAGATCAGAAAAAAAAAATATTTCTAACCTTAAGGTCTCTATGATATACTCCTCTGCTATGGCAATAGTCGACCGCATTAATAAGCTGCTGGAAGTACTTCCTCGCCTCATCTTCCTTCAATCTCCCACTGCTCGACTAATAACATACATGACAAGTTTAGAGTATCAAGTCCTTACTACTTCTTCACCCATATATACACAAGAAAACAACCATATTTGAAAGCTTACAATTTTGTCAAAAAGCTCACCACCAGTCACGAATTCCAAAACGAAATAGATCTTAGTTTTGCTGGCCATCACCTGAAGAAAAGAAATTCGGTAACTAACAAAGATACCAAAAGAATACAATAGTATACATGACTGGCTTAAAATATGTTCCATAACTTCAAAAAAAAAAAAAAGCATAGAAGTTTAGATCAACCTCAATCATGCGGATCACATTCGGGTGTTTGATCAGTTTCATTGTCGAAATCTCACGCTTAATCTAGAGAAGGCAAACGAAATCAGTGTTAAACATCTACGTAAATCATGATTCCAAAAGAAGACAGCAGCATGAGATGATTTATATATATATATATATATATATATATTATACCTGAGCGATCATTTTGTTTTTCAAAACTTTTTCTTTATCGATGACTTTAATGGCCACATTATCTCCATTCTCAACATTCCTCGCGAACTTGACTTTCGCAAAGGTTCCTTCTCCCAAAGTTCTTCCCAGCTCGTACTTACCCACTCGAGTCCTACCCGAACTACCTGAAGCCCCAGAAGGCGTCGATCGAGAAGGAGTAGGAGCAGATCGCGAAGGTGTTGCTTGAGAAGCCATCTCTCTCTTATCTAGGTTGCAGGTAACACAATTGTTAACTCATATCATTGAAGCAAAAGTCATTACCGGAAACAATGTTGGAAATAAGGTCTATCTTCCTAGAATGATGCTTACACCTACCGATGCTAGATTGCCTTTTCGGTTTCAAAGGAGACAATTTCCTATTTCCCCATGCTTTGGAATGATAATTAATAAGAGTCAAGGTCAGAGCTAGCTCACGATGGAATCTACTTACCAAGACCAGTTTTTGCACATGGTCAACTATATGTGGCTGTCTCAAGGGTTAAAAGTGGAGGAGATTTAAAGACCCTCATCATTGACGAAGAAGGTAAGAGAGCAAAGCAAACAACTAATGTTGTGTTTAAAGAAATATTTCAGAATTTCAGAGGAGTATGACGTATCTTAAGGCAATAACATTGAGTCATCAATTTTGTATACAAACTCTTAACTTCTTCACATAACTACAATGTTATCTTTACAAGCTTTCAAAGTCATATCATATACAAGAATCCTATGGATAAGCACATCTCACTCATAATGATCTTTATTTATCTTTGTTCTTCTGTCTTTTAGCTATATATTTGCTTTCTTTGGAGTTCTTTAGGATTCCAGCTAAAAATTTATGTAATCATGCGTTTTCATTCAGAGTGTATCTATCTAGGGTTCTAATCTGAGTTCAGTTTACAATTTCTAATTTGAATAACAAAAACAGAATTACACAGCAAACACATGATTTCTCCAACGTTAATGTCACTAAAAGAAATCAGTTTTGTCTTATAATTCACAAAATCATTTTTTTACTAAATCAAATGATTAGCTAGATATAGAAATTTACCAGAAATAAGATTAGGGGATTCAATTGGATGCCAAGATGTCAACCGTGGGAATGAAGCTGCATCCATCTCATTTTTTGCTCTCAGCTTTGGATATGTATGTCATAACACATCTGGGTCAATTATATACGAGTTAGAAGAGCTAAGGTTCCCATGTAATTGAAACAATAGAGCCAATCCGATGTAATTGCATCATCGAAATTGAAAAAAAAAAGTTATTCAATCATACCTGAGAAGAGAGAAAAGAATTAGGCACAATTAGAAAGTATATATCTCTGTCAGCTTAACCCATAACAGATCAAGATGGATCCTTAGAACGAGATCGGAACCAGTGTAATCAAATTGATTTTTTTTTTTTTTTTTATATCTTGTCGGTGGTTCTGGTTCTGATTCTGAGAAGGAGAAGGGAAATAGACAGAGAGTACGGGATTGTCGTGAAAGTTAAAAGTCTTTATTAACTTTTTTTTTTACTTGAACTATAATAATAGGAATTAAAATTATTATCTTTAGTGTGGAATTCCTTTGTCCATTTATTCTTTAACGTAGATTAAAAATATAAGGGTTTGGGTTATGCACCCTTCAATTTATTATATTAGGAATTGTACCCCGCGCAAGCGCGGATTGTTTACATATATTTTTGGTTATTATTCATCATTTATATACTTTATAAACTATGTTTTTAATGTTTTTCCTTTATGTGTTGTTCTGTATATATGATTTTGATGTTTATTTATTAAATATTTATACAAACAAAAAAAAGTTGAGTGATTTTTTTTAAATGTTAGAAATAGTCAATACTTTAGTTTTTTTTAACATCAAAATCAATAATTTAGTTTTTTATGTAACTTATTTTTATTACTTAAATTTAACTGTTAGCTTTCAACACTTAAACATTTTCCATGAAATTTTATTACATACACTATCTTTTTACATAATATATATTATTATGAATTTTAGACATTTTAAATTTTCAGTACATTTTTTTTCTTTTAAAAACAAATCTCTTGCATCTACTGTTAAAAATTAACTTTTAATCTTTTAAATATTAGTTCAACCAATTTTTATTTATTTTTGTCTTTTATATTTTTATTAATCATTTCATTTTTTTTTTTGAAAAACAAATCTCTTGCATCTACTGATAAAAGTTAACTTTTAATCTTTTAAATATTAAGTTCAACCAATTTTTATTTATTTTTGTCTTTTATATTTTTTTAATCCCTTTTAATACATTTTTATATTTTTAGTTAAATAATAAATTATTCAATGATATTATGAAAGTGTATTTTTTTTTTTTTTTTTTTTTTTTTTTGTCAACAACATCTGTCTCTAGAACAGCTCAGGAATCCAAACTGGTGAAACAGAGGTTACATAGTACACATCAGTAGGTAAATCTCGAGCATTTCGTGCTAGCTTGTCTGCCTTCGTGTTCTCCGTCCTTGGTATTTTCATGATGATGAAGGAAATGAGCCTCTCCTTGCACCTGTCAACCTCGTCCAGTAGTAATGAGAAAGCCGGCCACTTCTCTGATTTAGACACCATCTTCACCACATCGGAGCAATCCGTCTGAAACACCATCCTTAATTTTCTGGTCCTTAACATTTGCATAGCCCAGATGAGAGCTTGCAGTTCTGCCTGAAGAGGCGATATGCCCCTTCTCAGATTGCATCCTCCCACAAGCTTTCCAGGGGTGTTCGTGTTAAAATAGTACCATCCTAGACCAGCTCTACTCTCTGATTCTTTCCAGGCCCCATCCACCTAACATATATCGCCAAACACAGGTAATGCTACTTGGGTTTCGGTGTGGGAAGGTGCCATCTCCAATCGTTCCTGAGACTTTGTCCATGCCGCAGTCTCTGCTTTTGCTTTAATTATTATTTCATTCGGATCCCAATTCACATCAGACATAACTTTGTCATTACGGGCTTTCCAAATATACCAAATCAACCAAGGAAACATCCTCATCCTATCATCATTTGGCAAGTGCCAAAATAAATGTGTCATATTTGTAAATAATCCTCCAGTTGGAAAATGGGCTGGTGTCGTTGGAATTGGCGATAATGCCCAAACTTGTAGTACTGGCGGGCACTCAAATAACATGTGATTTACAGTTTCTGAGGCCATCCCACACCGCATACACTGAGGATCAATCAGCATACCCCGACTTCGTAATCTTTCACCGACTGCTATACATCCCGTCAGTGCTTGCCAAAGAAAGTGTTGCAATTTCTGTGTACATTGTGTTTTCCACACCTATACCTGAAGCCGCCGTGTATCCGGTCCAAAAAAGACAGGGTTTGCATCCTCGGAGGCTTGTTGTGCAACCATATATCCCGATTTAACCGTATATCGTCCCGACTTCGTGAAAAACCATCCCAGAGAGTCTGGTCGGGTAACATGTGAAGTTGGGATCCCCATAATCAGCGGGACATCCGTGTTGTCTACTAGCTGGTTTAATAGTGGAAGATTCCACGTTGATGTGCTGGAATTTATTAATTCGCTCACCCGTAGATGAGGGTAATAATTAATTCCAGGTCCGTTGGCTGGCCTCGGGGAAGAAGCTGTAATCCATGGATCATCCCAAACTAAGATAGATGTTCCTGAACCAACTCTTTTAATAAGCCCTTTTTGTACCAGAGGTCGAGCCGAGACTATACTCTGCCATCCGTAAGAGGCCGAGTAAGATCTAATAGGGTCTAAAGGATTAGATTTCCGGTAATACCTTCCTTTGAACACCCTTGCAAACAGAGACTCTGGGAAGTCAATTAGTCGCCAGAGTTGTTTCGCAAGTAAGGCCGTGTTAAAGTCCTCTATAACACGGAAACCCAAGCCGCCATCGTTCTTATACCGACATAGTTTTTTCCAGGCCAGCCAATGCATCCCTCGAGTTTGCCCATTATTACTCCACCAGAAATTTGAAACCGCACTAGACAGCTTATTTGTAATCCCTTTTGGCAGACGAAAACATGACATGACATGCATAGGCATCGCCGAAACCACTGATTTTATAAGAACTTCTTTTCCTCCTTTTGACAGCCACTTGGAGTTCCAGCCATTAATCCGTTGTTGTCGATCTATTAAAAAGCTGAAAATCTTTGTCTTGGCGCCCCCAATACTTTCTGGGATCCCGAGATAGTTCCCCACCCCGCCTACGGATGTAATTCCCAGAATCTGATGTATCTCAGCCCTCACCCCTAGCTCCACTGTATGTCCAAATTACCAAAATTTGGTAAAATTTTGCCAAAATTAATCTGTTGGCCAGAGGTGTTCTCATAGTCCTTCAAAATTTGAAGTAAAACCCGACTCTCATCCACATTTGCTCTACAGAAAAAAAGACTATCATCCGCAAAAAGAAGGTGGGACACTGCGGGGCTCGCCCTAGCCACTTTTAGTCCTGTGATTCTTTTCAACTCCTCCGCCTTTTTAACATTTGCTATCAAGACCTCCGTACAGAGAATAAAGATGTAAGGTGATAACGGATCCCCTTGGCGTACGCCACGATGGGGAACTATTGTTCCTTTCGGTTGTCCATTAAGTAACACCTTGTACTTAACTGAGGTAATACACTTCATCACCCGGGAGATCCATTGTTCCGAAAAACCAATTTTTGTCATCAACGCCTCAATAAAACTCCATTCCACCCGGTCATAGGCCTTACTCATGTCTGTCTTGACCGCCATATATTTTCCTTTACAGGCCTTATTTGTCCGGAGGCCATGAAACATTTCCTGGGCTATAAGAATATTGTCTGAGATTAGCCTGCCCGGAACGAACGCCGACTGAGTCTCCGAGATTAAGCTAGGCAGAAGTATTTTAAGCCTCTGGCAGAGAACCTTGGAAATAATCTTATATCCCACATTACAAAGACTAATTGGTCGTAACTCCGTCATTTTGGTCGGTCTTCCCGTTTTTGGAATAAGGCAGATGTGTGTCATATTCAATCTTTCATCCAGAGTACCCGCTGTGAGAAAATTGTTCACCAGCTCAAGGATATCATTTTTAATGATATGCCATGAGCGTTGGAAGAATAAAGCTGTCATGCCATCTGGTCTCGGTGCTTTCTCAGGGTGCACCTCTGCTTCAGTCGCTGGTCTAGTCAAAGCTGCATTATCATGTGATGTAACCCGTTGTGTCATGTGTTCAAGCACACTGGTAAAGTCAATCGGCATAATGGACGTAAACAGTGTATCAAAATAATTAACTGCAACTCTCTCCATCTCTTTTTCCCCAGCTACCCATACATTTGCATCATTATGAAGACCAACAATTCTATTAACTGCCCGCCGCTGCTTTGTTGAGGCATGAAAAAACTTAGTATTTAAATCCCCGTCTTTTAGCCACATATTTCTACTTTTCTGCTTCCAGTATGCCTCCTCATCTCTATATGCTTCCTTCAACTTATTAGTGATGTCAATAAGGTCTTCCTGGGTACTATTATCATCATCTTGTATTTTCTCTAGCGCCTTCTGTAATTCTGCTATTTTTTCCTTTCTATATGGCTGATTGTTTTTCCTCCAGACCGAGATCTCATGACGGCAATTATAAATTTTGTCCACCAAACCCGGTGCCACCTCGCCCCGAGTGCTGTTCCAGCCCCGATCAATAGACTCGAGTAAGCCCTCCAGACCAATCCATCGTTTATCAAACCGAAATTGTTTTCGCCTTTTGGTTACCTTGGAATCCAGAGTAGCCAAAATTGGCCTATGGTCAGAGCCAATGATTGGTAGATACTCAACATGTGAAACCGGAAATAGATCATGCCAATCTTCCGTTGCCAATGCTCTATCCAGCCGGCACCGCACTATCCTCCCTCGTCTCCGTCCCCTCCAAATGAAAGTGTATTTCCACGACTTGGAAAATCCACAAAACCACAGTCGCTTATCATCAAGTTGAAAGGAATAAAGGTGGATGCTTGACGTAGGGGTCCACCTTGTTTCTCATGATTTCTTGTGATCTCATTGAAATCCCCTATGAGGAACCAAGGGTCTGTCCTTGTTGTTCCAATCCGTGTAATCCTTTCCCAAACTAGATCCCGTAGCTTAACTACAGGGTCACCATATACAAAGGACATAAAAACCACCTTGCCTTCATAGCTAGCCTTAACATCAATGATCCTTTTATTGGAAAACTCGATCTTAACATCATACTCGTTATTATAGAACAATGCCAAACCTCCACTGGCGCCAATTGGTTCTACTGTAACCAACCTATCATACCCAAAATGGAACTGAAATTGTTGTACAAAAGCAAAATTCTGTTTTGTTTTGGAGAGAAAAAGAAATTCAGGTTTAAACTTCCCCCACATTTCTCGAAGATGATTAATCGTGAACTGATTCCCCAAACCTTGGCAATTCCAGCTAAGCACTCTCATTGTCCGAGTCGTGTTTGTCTCTGGTGGTTATGTTTCCGTTCATCCCCACCACACCTTGTCTCAGTTTTAGTATCCCTATTAACCAAGTCCTCTTTAAATACGACCATATTACTCTGTCACGCTTCCCCGACAAGATTTTATACCACCGCCTAAGAGAAAAACCCTTCGTATTTATGTCCCAATTTGTTCTCTCACCTCTCCTCCACCGACTCCAAGGTAATAAGATCATTCCGTAGCCACCCTTAATGACACAAACGAGAGGAAAATACCAGGCCATAATTCCCCGTAATCCTTTACACCCATGACGTGACTCTGTGAGACCCGTCCAGTATCTGTCAATCCACGGCAGCCACGACACGACCCTGTATGCCTCATCCCTCTTGTAATACCTCAACAAAGTTCTAGATAGATCTACCCCCTTTCTTTTATCATAGCACCAATCCTGACCCAAATTTGTCGTCCAAAAAACCGGGCCACGAAAACGATGAAAACGATGCAACCAACCGAGACCATACATTTGTCCTTGAAAAATCCAGTTATGATTATACAACTGTATTGTCAACCTGTGAGTAATCATTCGTCGTAAGCACACCAAATACCCAATTGTTTTCCCTAACAAAGTTTTCCAAGTATGATACATTGCTTTGGTACCTCTCTTATAAAAAACCTCAAACCACTGAGACAAAAACCTCAGAACAGGAATGAAAAACCCTGCTTTTTCAAACACAACTATTAGGAGAGGCACGCAGAAAATAACTCCTCCAAAACCAATACCCAACAGCCAAACCCTGTCCTGTTTTGCTATATGAGAGCCTACTCGTTTTTGCTCAAACAACCACTGTTTGACTAAAAGATATTCCTTGGGACCATCTATCTTAAAAAACTTTCGTGTTTGTAACAAATGAAAAGCCAATAAAGTCCAAACCATAACCATATTCTTATTATAATGAAACAGAGAATCATCGCACGGATTCTCCAGAGTTTTCATATTATAGCTTACAAACAAAGGAAAGAACTCCAAAGAAAAACCAAGACCGAGAGAATATGACAGAAAAACAAGGTGTATTCCGATGTATTATGTATTAATTGAATTATTAATTTTGATTTAATTAATTTGTATTTGTTTTTGCTGATGTTATACTCTAAGAGGGAGAGAGCAACTCTCTAATTATATATAAGATTTATTCATTTTGCAATTCTTTAGTTTTCAATTAAATGAAATCCACATAGTATTTAAGTTTTGTTTTTTTTTTCTGTGCAACTGTTTTGTTTATTACAGAATATTACATATGTTATTGATTTATCAGATGTTCATGGTCGAATACTAGTATAACTTATAAAATGTAAGATAATCTTCTTATTATATTTAATATAATTAATTTAAGAATGTCCAAGCACTAATTGAACTTTTGATGTTATGGAAAAGCCGTTATCAGTCTCAAGGAGCCACAAGCCCTTTTAATGCTTCTTCGCAAAAGGGGCATTGCACAAACTAGAGTTCTTATTTGTTTTTATTCGAACACTTATTTTACCGGACTAGGGATTAAAGCCCCGCGCAAGCGCGGGTTGTTCGCGATAATTTTTCTGCTTTGATTTTATTTATATTCATTGATTTGAAATTTTGAATTATGATGGTTATATGTTAACTTCCATGTTTTGGTTATATTTTGAGTTAACCCAACAATTAACACTAACAATATGATCAATTTTTTTTATTAAGATATTAACACCTTACTTCATCTCGAGTTTTCTATTTCTAAAATTTAATATGCATTTGACTCAACGTTAAAATTTGTAAACATGATGTAGAATCGCAATTGCACTCAAAATATGATGAAAAAGAAAAACATGTATAACTTCTTACATATATGCTTTATTGTGGTAGCATGTGAGAATTGATTATTTTCTATTATGTTAGTTTTGTATATATAAATTGTATTTTTGAAACAAACATGTCACCATTCTTAAAATTTTCATGCTTTTCGTTGCAATGAAATTTAAATAATAACTCGACTTCTATTTTTTAATAAAACAAACTCTAACTCTAATTTTTTATTAGCTTTTTACTATGTTAAATAATTTATAATGTACCTTTTTTACTTGTAAGCACATTATAACATTTTTAAATAGGATAAATCCTTTGAATTAAAACTAACTATATACTATTTCAAGTTAAATATTTCTTTATTTCATCTCCATTTTATATTACAACTTTCTTTTAACTTTTAACATCAAGATATCACATACTTTATATTAATCAATTAAATTGTTTGTGTATTTTTCTTAGTTTTGTTTATGTGTAAAATAGGAATATATATAAATAAATATTAATACACATATATTAAATATCTTAAATACAATTAATGATTTTTTTGCTGATGTGGATGGCCTAGGAGGAGAGAGCAACTCTCCTATTATATATAAGATTTAAATCTAGATGCAACATACAAAACACTAGGTTACGTACAAATTTCAATATTCCATCCGTTTCAAATTAGTTGTCATTCTGGCAAAATGTATCTGGAATACATCCAAACAATTACACATACATTTTGCCAGAATGGCAACTAATTTAAAACGGAGGGAGTAAATGTTTTGTGTGTTCCCGTTCAAATTTAATATGTCGCTACAAAATAACGATTTTTAGATATGTGATATGAAGCAGTTATTAATGATAGCATGCTTAAATTAATTATGCACAATTTATGACAAACTTATGTAATATGAGTTAAACAAAGCCTGAAAATTTCAATTTTGAAGTTAGAAAAATGAATAATAGATTACGTCTCATCTAATCTTTAAAATATTATTGAGAATTATATTATCAAATAAAAAGAAATTTTAAGGATTATATCTCATGGACAGAACCTTTTCAAATATACACCACTTAAAAACTCTTTCAAAACTATAGCAAAAATCAGATGAGAATTGACAATTTTAACCTTACTCAATCTTACAAGTAATTTCGATTTTACATCGCCCAACCTTACCCGATTCATAGTCCGTCGTCTGCTCCGTCGTCGTAGAACATAGAGTCGAAGCTTATCTTATGTCGGAGTTCATCGTATGTTTAATCCCATCGACCGTCGGCCAGCCTTTACATCGTTTGAAATCACGATAAAAGGTGAGTTCGATAGTTTTAGTAGTTCATCGATCTTGGCTATTTCTCGTCAGTGGACACGACACGAGATACATGTTGTTTACTGAATTGAATCATGATTTCTTAGCACTACAAGAAAAACTTTGTATTCCAATGGACACATTCATTGATATTTTGTTGTAAATCACGATTTCCGACATGTTTCACACAAACATCATTTCGTTGGAATTTGATTATTGGAAATGTGCCTTTGTTTGAACGTCGTGGGAATCATTTCCGACAAATTTTATTTGTTGGTTATTCGTCAGAAGTTAATGACGAACTATTTGTTGGAAACTTGTTAATGATTACCATCAAAATTTCTAACCAAATTTCCCAACTAAACATTTGTAAGAAACTCGTAAGTACTTTCCATCGAATATACGATGAATATTTCTGACGAAATATTTGTAAGATTTTAGTTGGTATATTCCGTCGAATTTCCTACAATAGTTTCCGATGAAAATTTTGTTTTTTGCTTTGTAAGTATATTCTCTCAATGTTCCAACACTATTTTCTGACGTAAATATATTTCGAAGTTTCGTTGGTGCCTTCCGTCAAAGTCCCAACAACATTTTCCGACGTAACTAACATTGGTAGAATTTTTGTTGGTACATTCCATCGAAATTCTGACACTACTTTCCGAGTTTGTTGGATTT